GTTCTATAAAAAACAAAAGCTAAATCATGGCTGTGATACTAAAAGTGTTTATTAAACCACTTCTTGTGCAAAGTTCATCTGAAAAATGCCCATTTCAATCATCAAAACAGTGAAAATGTCAAATGTGTTGCATAAAAAAAGATTCCTTCCTTTGAACAAGCAACAAAACTGTAGTGGTGTAACAAAATAATTTGTGAAAATATACCCCAAAATACTCTTGGCGATATATACCAATACAGCAGCCCACGATATTGATATTGTGTCATCACATTAAACGATACAATATATCAATATTTTTGCCCAGCCCTAATCATAATGTTCAATTTGATGATACAGTATCAATATCGAGAACTGCTGTATCAATATACTGCCAAGAGTAATTTTTGGTATTTTTACTAAACTTTTTTGTGAAAGAGCTACAATTGTGTTGTTCATTTAAAGAAAGGAAACTTAATGCAACACATTTTCACTGTTTTTATGAGCAAAATGTTGTTTTTTTGTTTTTAATCTACCCAAATCTTGTGGTTTGATAGAGACTATCACAGTCATGATTTCACCTTTATTTTTAACTGAACCATATAGAACTGATTTCAAATATATTGTTTCGATTTGTATTGAAACGAAAGTGCACTGTATCAAAAAAATGCATCGTATCATGGCCTACGTATTGAGGTATGTATCGTACCTACAACTTCTTCATGATACCCGGCCCGAATAGTCAATACATTTTCAGTATCCAAGGTGCATTCCTAGTTCAAATTGTTTCATATTGTCCACATATAGCTTTTGAAACTTCTAGATTTACTTACAGTGGGAAGAGAAACCAAATCTTTTACTCAAGTAAGAGTACTGTTACATCAATAAAAGTACAGTGTCTGAAAACTACTAGAGAAGTACAATTTCTTTAAAAACACAAGTAAATGTAACGCAGTACGACTCACCTCTTTACACAGTTGACTTCTTTCTTTAAATGTTTTGGTTGATCTCACATAGTCCTGGAATCCTCTTTGCGATTCCCCATTTCGTTTAAAAAAAACCCAAAAAAAACACAATCAATCCGCCATTTTGAATAATTCTTCCAAAAAAGTTCCAATTGACTTCCTCCCAGCGGCTCTATTGTCCGTCTGACTTTCACTAATCACTTTATAATCACCCCAGTTCACAGGGAGGTGATTTGACTGGCTAATATTTCTCTAATCTCAAGTGGGGTGCAGTCATCAACCCGGCCAAATGGGATCAAATTAACTCCTGTCTTGTACCTATAAATGAAAAGAAATTAACAATAAATTAGCAACTGCCAGTGTATTTGTATAATTTTGCAGTAATTTCTCAGAGGATTAGCAAATTAGGATCCAGTATTTCTCTCGTGGTTGTTTGACAAGAGACCCTCAAACCTTTTCTAAGATTGAAAAAAGGATAATATTTCTATGTCTGCTGGTTAAGTGTGGTCATTTATGCACATATTTGACCACAATATGAAATAGCACAGAATAAATAATGTTATGGCAGTGAAATAGTCCCATGGGAGTTAATTTTCCTTCAGTAAATAAGTGATAAAATGTTGTAGGGGTCTTTTATGAGCAATAACTTAACACTGTCTAAGCTCAGAGCAGTGGGACAGCCTCGTATAATTGCAGCTGGGTCAAGGGAGGAAATCTGAACTTGTTATAAAATTGAATAGGCCCAGTCAAAAAGCAAAATGAGCACAAAAGTGATGGAGGTCAGAGCCGGGGAAGTCTAATCTGGCCCCTCGCTAATCCTCGACCTCAACCCTCGCCATGGCAACCACAACCCGGGGCTTTTCTGCTCAAATCCTCGGCGTCCACGGTAGTCCCATTCACAAAACGCGGAGCGGCGGAGAGCACGGCGTATGTCTCTGGAAGTACACTGCACAGGACGCGGGGTAAACACGAGATTAGTTCCGGGTCTGGTTCAATGCAGAAACGTGGAGAAAGCGTCCAAACCTGGCTGTAATCCCCCGCGGAGGCTTCAAGTTGCGCGGCCGGAGGAGAGCAGCATCATCCCGGCCAAGAGGCGGTGGAGGGGAGTCCTGATTCCGGAGCGGAGAACAGCATCCTCCCGCCCTGAGCGTCCTCTCCCCGCGGCGGCGGCAGCAGCAGCGGCTCGACACGGGCCCTCACGCACGCACAGCGGACACGGCTCTGGAGGAGTCACGGTGAGAGGAGATAGATGAGCAGATGTGCAGGCAGCTGATGGAGGACACCCCCGCGGACCGCGCTGTCTCCTCCGTTGATTTCTCTCCCGTTTTTGGAGCTGACAAGCGCCGAGAGCAGGCGAATCGAGAGGGAGACACTTCCGCCCGACGCGCTTCACAATAAAAGCATGATATCCAGCGGTGAAGAAGTAGTACAGTACTCAATGTTGTTCCTTAAGTAAAAGTACAAGAATCCCATGAAAAAATCTAGCTTTTGACACAGATTTGTGCTGACTTTGGATATACAAAAGCAATTGAACTGATCTTCCTATCTTTTTATTATTATCATGATTATTATTATTAATAGTAGTAGTAGTAGTAGTAGTAGTATTTTATTACTACAAACTACAAATATGTATAAACATGAACCCCTCAGGTTTTTCAGCAGGTCTCAGACAATATTAATAAATACTTTTACTTTTCAGTCCTGTTCACAAATGTAGTGGAGTAGTACAGACACCTGCTCTCAGATGTAAAGTAAAATTAAAAGTATCTACTTCTACTAAAGTACTCAAGTAAAGTCCAGATACTTAAAACTTATACTTAAGTAAAGTACTACATTCAAAGGACTACTATTACTTTGTTATGTGCCACCATTGATCATTTTAAAAGCATGTGTTAGGTGTGTACATCAGGCAGGTCCATGTGGCTGTTCCTAAATCCAGGCAGGGTGATGGAGCCTTTTCAGTCTGGGCCCCTCGGCTTTGGAACAACCTGCCTGAGGAAATAAGACTTGCACCATCAGGATCATCTTTGAAACCTCTTCCATAAACTAATTGTTATCAGTTGGCCTTCCCTTAGCTAGTTTTATCTTGATTTTCTATTTTCTATTTCTATTACATCTATTTTATTAATTTATTTATTACAATTAATTTAACAGTTTGATCAATATTTTAGATTTTTTTTTTTTATTAAAATAGGGAGGAAATAAAATAGGCTACTGATATGATCAAAACATCTCTCTCAGGCTGCTTTGTAAACCACTGTAAAAGTAGCTGGGTCATATGAAAGTCCCAAATAAAGTGCACAGAGCTGCATCATGACTGATTTATATAAAGATATGAGGAGCAGACAGCGTCAGAGCGGGAGACATGTCTCATCTCTGATCCTGGAGTCTCCTGCTGAGGGCACAGCTGTCTGCACCAGTCTCTGTGTGTCTGAATCACACACTGCAGGGGCTCCCATCCACTGTACACATCTGATCATCCAGGCCAGCCATTACGCACGAGTACAGAAATAACCCTGTGAGCTCTGCTGACAACAGGCTGTGGTGGAGGCCTTTGGGATGCACTGTATCAACAAAACAAAAATTAAAATGCTGCAATCCAATCAAGTTGGTCAAGTTTATTCAGGTTTTTATTTGTTTTCCCAGAACTACATTCTTGTTATAGACCATATAAGCAGCAGCTGCTGCCCATTCAGAATCCAACATATTTCGATTTCTAAATAATAATCTGGTAAGAGACAGGAAAGAAGCGTTTCAAACGGTTAGAATATTGTACATATTGTATAATCTACCCAGTGCTTTATTTTGAAGTACAGATTTCTTTTCCGGTATGTTAGTAAAACGCTCGCGCTCCAGCTGAGGACGCACGCGGAGGAAACACCCGTGCGCCGCTGGAGCACGTTCAGGAGTACGTACATGGGCACGTACAGCTGCGCTGGCTTCTGGGAATTAGTGTTTGTTAATGGCTTTGCTGTCATTGGTGAACGTGAATCCCTGCGGACGGAGGTAAAGTAAAGACTACAGACCCCAGCAGCCTCCGCGCGCTGTCCATGGTGCTGAAGTCAGAGGCGAGTCCAGAGGAAACTGAAAGTGATGTGAGCTCTCTGAAGTTGGAACACCTCCATTAATGTATAAAGACACAGACTCACGTGCCCTGCAGCCCCCATACTGTCTGTTAGTTTAGAGCTGATGGATCGTGGGTGTTTATTGACATTTCTGAAAGCTCAACTCCAGTATTTAGTACCACCTGGTGGTGGACCACCTATACTATATTCATTATAAGGTCATTTTCATGCTAAATTCCAACACTCTAAATGTAATCCAAATGTCTTTAATATGAAAACAACAGAAAAGGCACAGACTGCTGTGTTTGCCATTTAATCAACGACTGTGGACAGTAATCCTGAATCTGTACTCTGTGCTCAAGTGTAATCCTCTGCCATTCAGTACTGTACTGTACAGTACTATACTGTAGAGTACAGAGTTAAAACTCATGTCTGTTTTAGACATGAAAAAGATTTGTTGCTCACGCTTGTGCGATTGCCTCTGGTGTTCTTGTGTTACGGTGCTGCTCATGTGTTATTCATCCATCATAAATTTGTCATATGAAAGCAGGTCAATTAGCCCTTGGTCATTCATTGACCTAAGTGCTAATGTCCAGTTTTAACAATATACACCTTATGTTGCATAGGCAGTTCCTTATCAGTATTTATCATCTTTTGATAAAAAGATCATATTAAGTGCTATATAACAATGATCACATTTTTGTATAGCGCTTTTCCACCTTCAAGGCACTTAAAGCACCTTATACTTATACACACACACACACACACACACACACTCATACACCAGTGTACAGACAGTCTGGGTGAGGTGGGTTAAGTGTCTTGCCCAAGGACACTACAACAGAAAAGAAAATATATTTAACAGATACAGAGTATTAAATTCATATTTGGATTGTTAGCTTATCTTTCAGTAACACACATAGATACATACACACACAGCACATAGATACACACATAGTGTGGGTTTGATGAATACAATGACAGTAGCCTGGCGTTCGTTTTAAAAGCATTTTAATGGCTTTTTGCACATATGTAACAGAGAAGGGGAGAAGTCTACAGGTGCAGATCCAACTAGCAGTGCCCCCCGGCCCACGCCACACACAACATACCTCGGCTAAACAAACCCAAGCCCCGCCCACCCGCTAGCCCGCCCCGTATCGTGGCATTTCTGATTGTGCAATATGAATAAAGATCTCGTTACTAATGGTTACAGTGACAGAAGAATGCACACTATATCAATCGGAATTGCCAGAGAATGTAGCGATAAACAAAAAAATATAGAAAAGGGACCCAACAACCCCCAGTGAAGTGTTCCAGTTACTCCGAAGTGTCTCCAACAGCCGACGAACGCACCCTCCTCCAGCTTTCCACATCCTCCACGTTGTTTTCCAGCTATGATTTTTTAGTTTTTTTGCGATATAAAATTAAATACAAAATTAATATTCATTCAAACTAGCAAAACAGGTTTCAGTCTTATCAGCCAGTAGGGCGAATTTGTACAACATGCACTTCCACTTGACATGCCTAAGTTATATCAAGCTATCGGCATTAAATCAAGATATTTCCTTGCAGTGTTAGAACCTAAAAAGTAGGTGACTTCATGGTGGTATGTACAATAATAATCAAGCGAGCATATGGCATTGACGTGTAGCATAGTGCCACTTTGACATGATCAGGTTTAATAGCTGCGAAAGGATTCTAAGCGCATGCTAATTTCATCTGTACATAAGTTATTTTCGTCGCTCACCTCTCACCATAGAACTGTACACAGGTTATTTTTGACCCAAACAGGCTTCCGTTTCTGAAATTTCCCATTTGAAGTAACTGCAAAGACTTCACTGCTAGGTCATATATTATAGATGGTTGAAAATTCTTAAGCCAACAAGCAAGCAACCAATACACGGACCACTTCCTGGTAAATGCTTTGTATAGAATCCAACGTTTTTTGAACAGCTTAAAGTACGTATTTTTATAACATCTTCATAATGTCGGACTAAATCTTAAAACATTGCTTAGTTTTATCACAAAAAAACAAAACAAATATTACGAAAGGGAAAAAATAAACCAAAAAAAGTGGGAAAAAAGTGAACACAATTGAAATTATCGGATGCAATATCAGACATTCTCATTGGTCAGGCCTAGTTAATCCTTCATTCAGATAGCAGTGTAGATTACGCGAGGTTAAGAAATTAAGCTTATTACTTGAGGGTATATTAGTACTAGTAGTAGCAATAGTGAAATTAAAACACAGGTTCATTTTTAAACAGTTATACACAAGTTATACATTACAGTTTCAAAGCGCGGCAGGGTAAAGCTCGGAATTTACACGCAAGTTTTATTGGTTTACTATCGCAATTCATCCTTCATATATAACTCAGTGCATACTTATGGACTTATGGTTACATCCTGTATTTTTTCCACGATATTTGTAGACGATTTTCATTTTTTTAAGATGTAAATTTTCGGAGTTTTACCCTGTCGCGGTCTCCCCATTACATAGGGATACACTCATCTTGCAAAGACAAGGCCTTGCAAAAAAAGGAAAAAAAAAAGAACTGGACCCTAGATTAGCTTCGACAAAAATATTAATAACATAAAATAAAATAAAATAAAAAAATACGGAAAATTATAAAAAAAAAAGTGAGAATTTTTGGGGGGGAAGCGTAAACACAAACCCACAGAAGGCAGTAGTAGAAATAGGCAGGATGATGGTGACAAACGAAGCAAAAACAAGCGGGAATATCGAGTGGAGAGACTGGGAACTCTTCAGTGCACTGTTGTTCAATGGCAAACTGGAATTTTTGGATTTAACAGCAGCTGCCTGACGCGTTTTCAGATTCGGAATTCCTTAAGAGATGTTTTTTTTATCTTTCCCTGTTCCGTATATTACAAAAACAAGATGGCGTGGAGTGTTTTGTGGCGCTCTGAACCAGCCCGGTCGGTCATTAGGCACAAATTTGAGACTTTTGGCTGGGAGCTCGCATGCTAGTCACGCTATGAGGAGGGGGGAGGGTAAAGAAAAAATGAAGGGATTAGCTGTTTGGGAGTTTTAGTTGGACATTTTAACGTTAAGTTCAAATTTAGTGCTATGCTATGCGCTAGTACTGTAGTGATTACAATGCCAGGTGCTACACGTTGACTCCACCTTGTTTCAGATCGGTAAGACTTTTCAACCCAAACAGCACCGAAGGGAAGAGGAGAGAGGGATGAGGAAAGAGAGAAAGAGAGAGAGAGATAGAGAGAAAGAGAGGAAGGAGGGAGGGAGAGACAGATTTAGGAAGAGCATCTATTTCTTCTTGCTGAACAAACTGAAGCGTTTCTCTTTGTCCCCCTTCTCTCGCTTGCCCGGGCTGGACTCTGCGGCGGTGGCTGTCGTGGCGACGGAGGCGGGCAGCGTCTGAGCGCGTGCGGTGGGTGCGGGCGTGCTGTGGCTGCTGGGTGTCACCTCGCCCTTGTCGCCCGACACAGCGTTGGAGATGGCGGAGATCCAGGTGTTCATCTCCTCCTGCAGGTGGAAGAGGGACAGTGGAAGAAGAGACGCGAGATCAGGTTTAGGTTTTTTAAATGAAACAGGTCGAATCTACAGCAAATCCACGGTCACCTTCGCTAGAATCATTTGGATAATTTCAACCCTGGAATTACCTATCTCTACTGAAGAAATTATAAAAGGTAACGCGTGATATTGCAAGATGGAACACAGCATTTTGAGATTAGATGTAGACTAATAAACAAACAACTCCAGGTATTTTGTCGATGAGCTAACAACATTTTAACATGGCTCAAAGAAGTTGATTTTCCGTGCTATAGGACCTTTAAAGCTTTATTTGTTGATTTAATTGAAGGAAAAATCCAGATAAAAAGCACTTTGGTCCCCTTGAGTGTTGCAAAGTGCTCTATAAATAAAGTTTGACTGATTGATTGATAAACACAGCTCTGCCTGCAGAAGTTACATCAGCAGTTTCAGTTTCTTGTGTAACTGAATGTCAACAGTGTCTGTTATGACTAACACGCCCCCACTGTCGTATTGTCAGCTGTATTGTATTGTATTGTATTGGATGTTTCCTGTGAAAAGATGAAGATGACATGTCTTTTTAGGGTATGGCGCTTGATACAGTCTCATCTCATCTCAAATTTCTCCTGATATAAAGGCACTCCATTCATCTGAGTCGCCTTTTTGTAATATGGATTTGTGTTCCTCCTGACAAAGACTAAAGGCCATCAACACATGACAGGATTTTTTCAATCTTTTTTAGATTTTTAAACGTGCAACAAAACACGCACACCGCAGACACAATGAGAATCTGACGAGATTTAAAATCTCAGATTGCAAACTCTGCAGCGGGATGTGACTGTGGACCACAGGATATAAAGTTGTGAGCACGAATGCGTCAGCTGTTTCCTGTTTAAATAAAACCAGTCGCTCTGAGACTCTTAAGTGTTCAAAAGATCAGAGCTCTGGACTTCGTTTAGATACAAGTCAAAACTGTGTTATTATTATTTGTGAAATGTGGTGCAATACTTATATATATATATATACATACATATACATATACACAATTTTAATGCACAGCAAGTTGTAGATAAAGTTCACAGGAAGTAGAGTTACTATCGTGAATCTGCAGCTTCACCTCGATCCGTGCGCTGTGTGGATGTAAACACACACAAGTTAGGAAATACTCTCACCTTTTTACTTTTAAAGACCATCTCAAACTGGATTAACAGCACTGTTTTGTGGACTGGATGTCATTATTTGCCGAGGACAAATTCTATGGATAATGTGGATGAGACGCTGCACTTTAAATTTACAACTTTAGTGCGGTGAGGAATAATTATTTTCGCTATTTCCTGAGTTTGCATCTTGCATCTCTGTGTCTGTCACTCCTCTGCCCCTGACTCTGTTTCATTGGTCGTTGCCGTAGTGTTACTGATGTTTGGTGGTTATGATCTGACAGAACAGCTCAGAGTCACAGTGACACCACACACACGATGAGTGCAGTGACTTCAAAATCTCACACGAAGACACGAAGTCAGGTCACGCCTCCCTGAACTCAGGAAAAGGCAAATCGCAGCTTAAATTGGGAAAATTCTCCTGTAGCGTGTGGCGGCTTTAAGACTGTAATTCGGTTTGCAATTCATATTTTTTTAAGTATAGTCCCTGTTCAGGGAGCATTAACATTTGAAATAACCAACTTAAACTCATACAAGAATCTCACACATTTCAGCCCTTGCATCTGATAATAACTAAAAAAAAAGTAATCAAGTTATGTGTTCTGAAATTACAGCCAAGGTTGTAATGTAGAGCTAAGTTTTTCAAAAGCTGTAAAATAATCACTTCACAAAATCTTGACTAAACATAAAATAAGTGAAAAATGTATTTGAAAGTACTTCAGACTTACATCATCTTTGGCTTGGAAGAGATACTCGTTTCCATCAGTGATTCTGTAACACACATTATAAAAAACTTAGAACACGTCTATAGTTTACAGATATCCGTGCTGTTTTTGGAGGTTGTACTGACTTGAGTTTAAAGACGTGTTTCTTCTTCTTGTAGTCTGTGGCCACCTCACACACGGCGTCCTTCAGGCTCACGGGGATCTCGCTGTGGTACGGGATGCCCTGGCTCGCGCTCTTCTGGTCCTTATAGAAGCCCATCTCCTGCTGGTTTATCACGCAGTACACATTGTGCCACGACCTGGAAAATATACAAAAGAAAGAAGTCAGTAATTACAAAAGACAGGTGGTTTTGAAATACTTGTAAATACAATATTGTTTTTTATATAGAACTGTTGTGTGGAAAACACACTCTTTGGCAGTCCTCAAGTTTTTGAACACTAAAAGTACTGTAAAATTGGTATGGGCAACATGACACTAGCAGACAAAAATATTGATATTCTAATTTGGATTGGTGTGGGTTTTTCATAGCCAATGCCGATATTGAAAACACACTGTTTAGAATGCAGACACCGATGGCCACTAAGCTTTGCCGATATTTCTGGGTGACAACTAGGGTCAATCTGGATTATTTTCCCCAAATTATAACATTTAAATTTACTGCAAACTCATCCATAACTCTGTTTAACTACAGCCTCGATAATGTGACAGTATTAACATTTTGTGCAGTTCTCTTTTCACACTCAAGAGTTCAAAAAGAACTTTAATCATATTATTTGTGCAACTTTATTGGTTCAAATAAAACATCGGTCTCTGCTAGAAATTTAAGGCCATTATGTTATAGCTCAAGTGCATATAGCAGTCTGAAACAAATGGGCCAATGGGCCTTTCTCCAATTCTAATATTGGCTATTACAAGAATCTATGTATTGGAATAACACAAAGTCCCCTAAGACCCCTTTACATTATAGAGCTACAGTTTATATAACAAACTACAAACACTGAAACATCTACATCAAATATATGAAATCCATAAAACAAAAAGAAATGAAACCAATTCCTCCCCACATGGTCTGACCCAAAACCTCCCCCAGAGGTTATAAATATGGCTGTCATAGGGCATGCCCCACTTGTGTCTCCAGACCTCGTGGAATAACAGGTAAGTAGGCAAGTGTCTGGAATAACTGAAATATACAACCAAACTGAAAATATTTAACCAAATAAAATATATTTCAAGTAACCTGAGTGTGTTGTGATTAACTTAAAGGAATTAAACAAAGATTAAATAAAACAAATCTGGGATGGTTGTATTTATTAGTTTAGTAGATTATGGAGAAATGAACAAATGAAATGAAATTAAGATGAGTCTACAGGGACAAAGGTGCTCTTTGTCACAGTTATTCATATATTTTCTTGGCATTAAAAAAGACAAAAAAATCAGATTTTAGTTTCCTTTGTCAAGTCCTTATTACGTTGTCATCACTACATAAAATATATATATATATATATATATATATTTCTTGTGTCAAGTTAGTAATGCACAACTTAGTAAGTAACAGTAACTTGTGTGTCTATCTTATAACCACACGTGTTTGTGTGTGTGTGTGTTTATGTGCATGCATGAATAATACCATGAGTAAAACACATTTACAAACAGCCTTTTGAATGGCTCAGTACAAACTAAAGCAGGGATCTCCAGCCCTTTGCGTGTGGTGAGTTAACTTTACAAAATGAAAATGCTGGAGAGCTACTTATTTTAACAGTTGCAAGAAATTGATTTGATATAAGAGGGCAAACCTTAGATGTACAGTTAGATGCCTTTAAAACTTTAAACCATTATCCATTTCTTAGTGCACAAAGTTCAAAATAACACATTTGCAGTGGTAATTAATCAAATTTGAGTTATTTAGTACAATACATATGATTCACAAATCCTCTACTTGGAAGGAGGTTGAGAGCTACTGGTAGCAACTGAGCTATAGGTTGGAGACCCCTGAACTAATCAATACAGCTCCCATTGAAAACATGAGACAAAATGCTGTCGCTCTGACCTGCTTGAAGCCTTCTTGTTATGCCCCTCCCACTCGTGCTTGCGGTGCAGTACTCCCTCCAGCTGGGAGGTGGGGCTGTCTGTTTTGGTGTGGGGCAGCGTGGCGGCCTGGCTGGGCTTGCCCTTACGCGTGGCCCCGGGAGACCCAGCGGGACTGGGCTCTGACACTCCGTTCACCACCTCGCCTCCGTCCACGCCGTCCTGGAAACAACAAAAACACGTCAGCTCCACAATCATCCAGGAGCTCCAAACGCAACTGTAATTTTATCAAAGCAGTTTTGTAATTTTGTGCAAAGCGAAAACCCACAAAACCTGCCAATGAATAATTTGTGTATTCATGTAGATTAATATTTAGCCAAAAACAAATTTAACCTTGCGTTTTTTTTATTCATCCAATATTTTAACAATTCAAAAGCAGCGGTTTGTTCATTTAAAAACCAACTAGCTCAGAGCCTATTAGCATCACCAGCCTCTTCACAGCTGTAATTTAAAAGCAAAGCTATATTATATTATATTATATTTTATCTTGTTATAATGTTGTTACCACCTCAAAAACACACCTGGAGTTGTGTTTTGTTTCACTCACACATGTTTAACTCACAAACTCTGCATATTTAGGCTGAGGAAACAACATTATAAAACAGATTAGAAAATAGCGCGATCTTGGCCCTTTAATATGTGGTCCATTTCACACATTAGTTAAAACATTTAAAACATGCACAGTCAAAGCACCACAGCACACCACACCATCAGAATAAAGAAAAGAACTGAAAAAGCCCAAACAACCATCAGAGAATTGTTTGGAAATGTTTTAAAGTAGATGTAATTAGTGAGAAATATATATGCGATAGGTCAAGTCATTATTGTCCACACCCACTGCAAACTGATGCTTATTACCCCAGGACCGAGCTCGTCCACAGCAGGGCCGAGGAGGGGGAGGGAGGGCAAATCCTGGAGCTTGGACTGGGACTGTGGGGTGTAAACTGGCAGGGAATGGGTGCTAATGTTGTTTATGTAAATGCTAAACTAAAATATTGGGACAAATGTGAGGCGAGCTCACAATCATCACGAGTTTGTATCACTAATGTATATTCTAGGCTGTGATTACAGTCCTGCTTTAGTACTGCTTTAGTCCTAGTTTAGATTTTGTTTAGTCCTGGTTTGGTCCTAGTTTAGTTCTAGTTTAGTCCAGGTTTGGTCCAGGTTTGGTTCAGGTTTAGTCCAGGTTTAGTCCAGGTTTTGTCCAGGTTTGGTCCAGGTTTAGTCCTAGTTTGGTCCACGTTTAGTCCTAGTTTAGTCCATCTTTGGTCCAGGTTTAGTCCATCTTTGGTCCAGGTTTAGTCCATCTTTGGTCCAGGTTTAGTCCATCTTTGGTCCAGGTTTAGTCCATCTTTGGTCCAGGTTTGGTCCATCTTTGGTCCAGGTTTAGTCCATCTTTGGTCCAGGTTTGGTCCTGAATTACTCCAGGTTTGGTCCAGGTTTAGTCCAGAATTAGTCCACGTTTGGTCCAGAATTGTTCTAGCCTTGGTCCAGGTTTAAGTCCCGAATTAGTCCAGGTTTAGTCCAGCATTGTTATAGCGTTGGTCCAGGTTTGGTCCAGGTTTGGTCCAGGTTTGGTCCAGCTTTGGTCCAGCTTTGGTCCAGCTTTGGTCCAGCTTTGGTCCAGCTTTGGTACAGCTTTGGTACAGCTTTGGTTTGGTTTGGTCCAACGTTAGTAATAGTTTGATCCAACTTTGGCCCAGATTTAGACTAGATTTAGACCAGGTTTAGCCCAAATTTAGCCCAGGTTTAGTCCAGGTTTAATCCTGGGTTAGTGTGAACACAGCCTTTTTTTTAAATACACTGCAAAATGTTTGTTTTGAAAATATGCAACATTTACTATTGTATATGACAAAACACTACTAACTAAAACCACTAAAAGAGCTGCTCATCTTTCAAGGACATAGTTACAGTATGTTTCACTATTTTTAACTAACTATAGAGTAACATTTATTTAGTGAAATACTTGGAACATTTCTAAAAAATAAAGTCATCAGGATAGTGTAATAATCTCACTTATTAAAAATGAATGGATGATCATAAATGAATGAATAAAAACTACAAAAATGGTGGTGGTTGCACACAGGGATGGAGGGCTCTGATTGGTGGACAGGGTTTATTGGGAATGTTAGTCTGGGAACAACATGCAAAAGGAGGACATGAGGTCATTATGAAATACAATGAACATGACACAGAACCATAATACAAAATCATATGAACGACACAGACATACACCAGTGATCAGTGATGATGTGACCACGCACACATCCACTCAACTGTACGGACGGGAGAATCAGAAAGCGGAAGAGGGCTGGAATGTACCATACTAACTTTTAAGAACACATATTATGCATTTTTGAGGCTTAAATTAGTCTTTAAGCATGTTTTTGGTCGCCTTGGGATAACCATTTCAATATTTTATAACTTAAAATAATACCTACATTTGGAAAACACGCTTTATAAACTACAATTCCATTATAAGTAGGTATTAAAGTGTTGGTTAGAGCTCCCTCTGCTGTCAGCAACGAGAACGAACAATCAGAAAGTAAACAAATCAGGTACATTGTGTAACTTTTCTGATGGAGGATCTGTCAAATGCTTTTTTTTTCTCCCTGGAGATGTTATTGCTTTGTCTGGAATGTTTCACAGTATGGCATTAAATCATTCTATCGTCACGGAAAGCAAACCAGACCAAGTTACAGGTCAGATCTGTGGAGTGGCGACCCCGTTCACAGTCAGAACGCCTGTTTTTCTAAATATTTTTTGAACCATAAAAGCACCTGTAATTCAATAAATGTAAGGTAGATCTGTTTAATGTCATACTGTGGAACATTCCAGGCAGAGCAATGACGTATCCATAGAAACAAGCAGGTGATGGACTCCTTACCAAAAAGTTGCATAGTGCACCTTTAGAAAACATAGTAAAACCAAGAGTTTGCTATGAACACAATTCGACTGCAGAATAAGTCCAGTGACGGTTTACGGACTTAAAAACTGCATTTTGCCTGATTTGTTGCGTCATAGATAAAACTTCAGACTTCTTTTGTACAGACAGAGCATTTTTGAGTGCTCAGAAAAGATGACTTTGCATGACTGGAATGAAAAATACAACAACAGAACATGGTTAAAAGATCCAAAAAGTCAATTTACCATAATATGTGTTCTTTAACTAACAAAAAATCTACTTTCAAACTCAAATGCATTATCATGTGAATCATAAGAAAATTTGGATTGTAAAATATTTAAAAACTGCAATTTCGGAATTTGATTTCCATTGTAAACCAGGTACACTATCACATACAACAAGTCATGGATAATCTGTGGAATGTCAGAGGGAATGTGGAGTTTTTAGATGGTCAAAAAGATGGGGAAAAGGTGCCATGATTTACTGTTACTGTTATATTATAAATTAAAGCTACAGTATGTAACTTTCTAGGCGTGGTACATATCTGCACGATTCCATGGAAATACAAAGTTAAAACCATACTTCGGAACATTCCTCACGGAGATATAGTGTATGCATACTGTGGAAGATTATAGGAACATTTCCATGAAACGAGCAGGAGGAGGAGCCAAGTAACTAAGAGCCAGGTTTGTGGAGATGCAAGCCCGCTCACAGTAACGACGCATGTTTTTCAGTGTAAGAAAAATAACATGCTTTAATTTATGTCTAAAAAGTTGCATACTGTGGCATTAAGAAATTATTCATAAGTAAAATGAATTGTGGAATGGTTTGAACGGACAATGGGAATTTGGAATGACGTTAAAATGAATTCCAGCCTGCATAATTTAACAGAACTAGTTTGATCACAGCTTCACTTTATTTTAAGACTACTTTAAGACATTTGAAATTCTACATCCAATTTAAAATACACTATACCTGCATACATTTGTGTTTTTGACTTTTGTTTTTCTAGAATTTTAAAAGTTTTAAACATTTTTGCTGTTATACACTACCAGTTAAAAGTCTGGATACACCATCTCATTCAATGTTTTTATTTTTTTATTTTACTACTTTCTGCATTTTATATAGACACAGAAGACAGTAACTTATATAGAATTATGTAGCAAAGGATAAAAGTACAGTAACACTGATTTAAAAAGTAGCCACCCTTCTCTTGGTTGAAAAATATTACTTCTGTGTATATAAAATGTAAAAAGGAAATAAAGAAAAAAAAACACTTTTGACTGGTAGTGATTTTTTCCCCTACCTTTATATTTTCCTGTTTAATAATTTAAATGTTAAGAGTTCATATTCCACAGAGTGAGTTTGTAAATGATCACGTAAATTAGGAGGAAGAGGAGGAGCTGGGGGGAGATGATGATGGGGGTGTCAGGCTGAGGGACGGAGGGAGGAAGAGGAGAAGGGAGAAGCAAAGAAAAGAATGAATGTGGGCCACTAGATAGACTACAGACAGGATATGGTCTCATACAGTAACTAACATTTTTACCTTTGTGGAATATACAAGTCTATTGGTTCATACGATCAGGATAAAAGCATTATATTCATACAAAATCAATATTAACCAGCACCTTTTAAAGCTTTAGGTTGGGTTCATGTGACATAACGCTCAGGGTGTTCTACATGTATCTCTATGGTGGAATTTTCAACTGTTTCCATGGTGAAACAAAGCACCCATAAGCAAACAAAGATAAGATTGTTTAAGAAGAAAGCTTGAGATAAATACAAGCATTCATGGTCCTGTTTAGGCATTTGATTTTCAACAAAAACTATGAGAGTGACTAACTGAAAAACTGACTTGTTTAACAGGACAAATCAGCTCACGTTTTGTAGTTCCAACTCTTTCCAGACAGATTGTGTTAAAAAAAGCTAACAAACCTCAGACAGACCAGTGCTTACAGCTGCAGCTGCAAAGTTGTATTATTGTATCGGCAAGGAACAATTAGTTAAAGGTGCATTTTTTTCTGGGCACACAGTGATATCGTGATAAATCATCCCTTTGTGAAGTGTCAATAATTTGATGATGATTTCTACAATTTAAAAATCATATTTTCTTAATATTTTTGTTGTGTTTTTGTTGTGAATTTAAACTTTGTGCAAGTTTTTGTTACATGTGAATAGGTCAAGTAACTGCAGTGTGATCACTTCTCCACCAACTCGGTTTAAACCACACGAACCCAACCTACAGTTTGTCTTCAAGTCCACAGTATGACGGTGTGTATATTGTGTATGGTGTGGTTGCCTTGATGACAGGTGTCATGGGGCAGCCCTACGGCCCTGTAGGGTGGTGCTGTACTGCTGGTAGGCGGAAGAGCGATAGGTACTAACCCTGGGCGACTCCTGGTCAGAGGGCAGGCCGTTCTGAGCTGCTGCTTCTCCCTCCCTGAAACACACACACACACTCATGTTATGTTTATTTAAAGCAAACACTTAACATTTATTTGGGAGGCAACTCAATATTCTGTATAGATTTATGGTTAAGGGGAGACTGTATTGTCCCCATAGACAAATTTGTCCTCTGCATTTGTCCCATTCGCCAGTGTCACTGGGGCATCTTCTCAGAATCAGTGATCACCGCGCTGCTCGAGGACTCATCTCCAGATCTTGGTCTAGTCTTGGTCAGCACTACCTTAGCTGGAGGATTTGATCTGTTGTGCATGTTTTGGGTTGATGGGGAAACAGAATGCCTGGAGGTAACCCACCCAGACACAGGGAGAACATGCAAACTCCACACAGAAAGGCCGTGGGTGACCTGGGGAGCGAACCTGGAACTGAACCTTCTTGCTGTGAAGTATAAGTGCTACACAAAACTGTTAATTAGTTAATTCCATTCTGTAAAAACACTGGATTTACACAACACCCATGACACAACACAGTGAAATAAATAAAATCATATTCTTTTGGATTTTAATTACTGTTAAAGTGCTTTGTCTGAGGACAATGAATGAATGAGTTTCATATGTAACTACAGCTCTCTGAATCCCTTCATAGAGCCAAGAGGACATTGTAGTGTGTTGTGGCAAACTGACCGTGCAGCAGCTTCAGTGGGCGAGGCCTCAGTGACCGCAGGCTGTCTGTTCCTCTCCTCTTCCTCCTGCCTTCTCCGCACTTCCAACAACTCCATCTGCACACACACACCATGGGTTTACATGTTTTATAGGGGCATTACATTGGCTTACATTTGTTTCCTAGAGACAGATCCTAACTTTAACCATAATCACTACTGTCTTAACATGTTCTGAATCACATCTGAACTCTAAACCATGTTGTTGACCTAAAAACAAAAGATTATGGTCATGGGGATCTGATTATTGTCCTTATAAGTGAGCCAGGTCCCCATGAAGAGAGTGTACTGATTTAAGCCCCACAGAGTTATAAATACACACTCATATACGCTGTTCTTCTCATTCCCTCTCCTCCTCTCTCACACGTCCTACATATACTTTGTGTTTTTATGGTTACCGTGGTGAGCCTCTCCAGAGCGGCGAAGCGTTCCTCCCAGGTGGCGGCAGACTTCTCGAAGGCCTCATGTCTCTTGATGAGTTTCTCGACCTCATCCACACTCTGTCCGATCTCACGGCTGGACAGGTACGGCTCCTGTCCCAACAGCCAGGCTTCCGCCACCCCCGCGTCTCTGGAGAACTGATGCACCTCCAGCACTGCACAGGGAGGGCATCCGGGTTACAAGGACGGGTTATAATAGTTGTGGAAGTAGTATATATAGATTGAAAAAGTGAAGGTTTTACCTAGTCTGAGCCACTTAAAACTCGAGTTATCACAACTCGGAAAAAGCTTGACTGAAGAAAAGCTCATTTGCCACTGCTAGTGAAGAAAGCGAAAGCGCCAACTTGACCCTCATCCTGAAAGAATTGAGAGATTTTAGAAGAGACAACACCCAACAACTGAACAAAATCCACGAAGACATCAATAATGCCAACAAGAGAATTGAGCAGCGGAGGAGAGATTGCCGCGGCTGAGACCCGAATACAAACGTCCGAGGATGCGGTGACGGAGCTGCTTAAGCTCCACATTCAGCTCAGTGCCAAAATGGTGGACTTGGAGAGCCGCTCAAGACGAGAAAACATTCGCATATACGGAGTAAAGGAAGGTCTTGAAGATAACGCCCCATCAATGAACGAGTTTTTGGAGCGTTTGCTACGAGAGAACCTGTCGGTGCCAGCAACAGTAGAGGTGACAGTGGAGCGCGCTCACCGCGCTACGGTGCCTCGCCCACCCCCGGACGCACCTCCGAGATCAATCGTAGCTAAATTCTCAAGTTACAGGGTGAAAGAAGAGATTCTGAGATTGGCTGGCAGAAACGGGGCTTCCATCTGAGTGGTAGAGCAGTGAATCTAGACCACGACTATGCGCCAGATGTCCTGCAGAAGCGCAACATATGCGGAGGCGAAAGCAGTCTTGAAGGAAAAAAAGATACGTTTCCAAACCCCGTCCGGCGAAGTTAAGAGTGCATTACGAGGGAGGCCCGGTGCTGTACGGTTCGGCGGAGGAAGCGACGAGGACATGGCCAAGAGAGGATTCCCGTTACCGCTTTGACTACTCCGAGCCCGACGACGCTGCTGGAGCAGATTCGGCATCTAACTTGGAGCGCGGTAAAGACCAGGAGCAGGGCAGACAGATCCACAGTGCCCAGCTACCAAGAAAAACTTCAAGTATTTAGACGACAGGAGAAAGACTGAGCATGATAGACAAACGCGCTGGTGAGTTCCACGTTAATCCAAGAATAAAAGATGTTCATTAAAAGCTTTTGGGACAAAATAACTATGGAGGCTAACAATAAAAGAACTTTAGCCTATATAAAAAATGTCGGGGGTGATAGTATAGTAGGTAGCGTGACGGACAACGTTACAGCAGTAGGCCCTCTCCCTCCAAGGAGGAGACGAGGCTCACCCTCTAAACCCTCTTTCAATCTGGGTCTCTACAGGATCATTCCCAAGATCCCACATTTGGAGGTCAACTGTTATAGTTTAATGTGTTTTTTTGTTCAAGCCAGTTCATGGGCTTATTTGTGTGCGTTATGGGGTGTTGCCTTGATGATGTATGTAAAATTGTTAGCTAAATTTACAGATGCAAACACTTAAAGTTGTGACTTATAAGTTGAATGGGTACTCAGTCCAGTCAAAAGAAGCAAGATATTAACAAAATGAAAGAGAGAAAAAATTGAGATTGCATTCATGCAGGAGACCCATCTCTCTGAAGCAGAGCATGCTAAACTATCTAGAATGGTTTTAAATATCATACTCCTCATCCTACCCAGCGGGACACAGGAGGGGGGTGTCAATTTTAATATCCAGTAAAATTACTTTTGAACCACTTTTGAGAAGAAAGATAAGGCAGGTAGATATGTTCTTGTTAGAGAAGGATGGGGGGGTCACTAGTAACTCTGTTTAATGTCTATGCACCTCCAAATTCCGAATGGCCTTCTTCAAACACATTTTTCAACTAAATTGCAGAAACACAGGCATTCTGATTGTGGGGGTGATTTTAATTTAAGGTTGAATTTAAACTCGACTCCTCAAACCCAAACATAACCCAGCCAAAACTAATAAATAAAAAATTTAAATCAGTAATGGATGATCTTGGGATAATAGATTTGTGGAGACAATTAAATCCTTCAGAAAAAGACTACACATACTTCTCAAATCCACACTCCTTTTTTTCTCGAATTGATTATTTTTCATTTTCAGTAAAGATTTGCATAGGGTGTTGGATTGTTCAATAGGTAGTATGGATTTATCTGATCACAGCCCAGTCTATTTAGAGTTAAATATTAACATGGACCACAGAAACACCTTGTGGAGATTAAACAATTATGTTTTGAGCCAAAAAAAGGACCAAATCAAAGCAGATATCAAGGAGTACATGGATCTAAATGATAATGATGAAATCACTCCAATAATACTTTGGGATGCATGTAAAGCTGTTCTTAGAGGGAAATTAATTGGCTATAGCTCAAATTTAAAGAAATTAAGGCAAAGTAAACTACTTCAATTACAATCTGAATTGAAAAGACTAGAGTATGGCTACAAACAAACAGGAGATCATAAAGTGAAAGAACAAATTGTTAAGAAGAGAAATGAAATAGATGAGATTTACACAAAAGATATTCAGAAAAAAATGATATTTACAAAAACAAACATATTATGAAGGAAGGAGCAAAAGCCACCAAACTGTTGGCATACAAGTTGAAAAAACAACAAGCTGAAAATGCAGTTTATAAAATTAGAAACCCTGAAACCAAACTGATAGAACACAAATTAACAGAGATACAGAATTGCTTTGAATTATACTATAAAAATTGTACTCCCAGCCCCATGCGACCAGGAAAAAATGGAGAGTTTTTTCACCAAAATCCATTTACCAAAATTAACTGTGAACAAAGAAGGACCTTGTAAAGGAGATTTCATGTAAAGAAATCGAAACAGCAATAGGTCATCTTAAATCAAACAAAGCACCTGGACCAGACGGGTTTTCTTCAGAATTCTATAAAGTTATGAAGGAATCCCTCGCCCCAATTCTTAAACGCACCTTCAACTGGATACTCAGAGAAAACAAGACACCTCCCTCCTGGAGTGAAGCTGTAATATCATTAATTCCAAAAGAAGGCAAAGACAAGCTTGAATGTAGTAATTTTAGACCAATAAGTGTGTTGAACCAGGATTACAAATTTTTACTCACATACTAGCAAGGAGAATGGAAGCAGTTCTCCCACGGATCATTAGCCTAGATCAGACTGGGTTTATCCGACACCGGCAGACGCAGGATAATATACGCCGTACATTACATGTGATAATCATATAATAAAAAACAATATACCTGCCATCTTAGTGGGTTTAGATGCAGAAAAGGCATTGATTGTGTGTGTTTGGTCTTTTCTTTATAGAGTTCTGGAAGATTTGTTTTATAATAACTTGATTAGAACAATACAAGCTTTATATCATAACCCAACAGCGAGAATAAAGGTAAATGGGGCAGTATCACAACCTATTGGGTTAGAGAGGGGCACAAGACAAGGCTGCCCCATGAGCCCCCTGCTGTTCGCTCTTTTCATTGAGCCGTTAAAGTCAGTGGATCACCCAGAACCAACATATTAAGGAATAGATATGAAAGGTGGGAACCAGAAAATCTCATTATTTGCAGATGATGTGTTAGTTTATTTATCTGAACCGGAAAACTCATTTGTACACTTAACCTCATTATTAGAGGAATATGGATCCTTCTCTGGTTATAAATTGAATTTATCCAAGACACAGGTCATATGCTTTGGGTATAGCCCTTCTAAATTTATGTCTAGACAATACCCATTGAACTGGGGAGCATCCAAAATGAAATACCTGGGAGTAAAAATTTCCAAAAATTTGTTAAACTTGTATTCTGACAATTTCGTACCATTAAACCAGGCAATTAAAGATGATGTACAGAGGTGGAGTGCAATACCCTCCTTGGTTTTGGATCGAGAATCCAATCAGTTCAAATGAATATTCTACCCCGACTTCTCTACTATTTCAATCCCTTCCCATAGAATTATCAGAGCAACAGTTCCAGGAATGGGACAGACTTATTTCAAGATACATCTGGCAGGGCAGAAGACCAAGAATCAAATATCAGAATTTGCAGCTACCCAGGAGTAGAGGGGGAGTGGCACTCCCTTGTTTAAAAGATTACTATGTGGCGGCACAATTGAAATCATTGGTGTGTCTATGTAATCCAGAATATTTTGCTAGATGGAAAATCATCGAGGAGGCAACAACCAGTGAATATCCAATTCAGGAACTTATTGGGGAAAAAGTTAGACAGGACCAATTAAATAACTTGGAAAACCCATTTATCGCCTTGTCTTTCAGACTGTGGAATAAGGTAATACAACAAAACAATTTAAAAGGTGTAGTAGTAATGTTGAGATGGTGTGGATATGATAAAGATTTCAACACCTAACAAATTTGATGTAAGGTTTAAAAGAGTGGGCCTTGCAGGGGTTAACTGCATACTGTACTCTTATACATCAAGGGAGAATGAAAAATTTTCAAACTTTGAAAACGGGCATGGTTTAAATAACAGTGATTTTTTTAGATTCCTCCAAATTAGAGATTTCATTGAAAAATTATTGAAGACTACCAAAGAAAAATATTTAAATAATCTTCTGATTAAGGTGTTTGTGGATGCATATACTGTAAATAATGACCAAAAGATAATTTCAAGACTATACAGAGGACTGCAACAAACAAAAGGAATACTACACCATGCGAAACAAAAATGGGAAAAGGAGGGACATCTAACTATATCTGATCAGGATTGGGAAGACTTCTGCGAGATACAATGGAAAACTTCTAACTCAATTATTTGGAGAGAGTTTTGTTGGAAGAATTTGGTCAGGTTCTTTAAAACACCAGTCCAGGAAAGACACTACACCAAATCATCAAACTGTTGGAGGCAATGCGGTGAACTGGAGGCAAATCATTGCCATATATTTTTGGACGTGTCCTCATATTGTCCTGTTTTGGAGAGAAATTCACAAATCATTAGTAACTGTGTTCTGTATTGACATACCGTTTCGACTTGAAACAATGTACTTGGGTTTCCTGATGGGTGAAAATGTGACTTATAAAGCTAAATACCTGTTCCAGATTTTGAGTGCGGCTGCTAAGAAAGCTATAACCAGGAAAATGGCTTAATCCACAAATACCAACACTGGATGAATGGTATGGGATTGTTTATGATATTTTTAAGATGGAGAGAATTACTTTTAGCATGAGACTACAACAAGACAAATTTGAAAGCAAATGGAAACGGTGGATTGATTATATAAATACTGTGAAATCGGACTTTGTTTGACCCATTATTTTGTTTTTCTTGTAAGTGGCTGTAAAAAATATTGTTCATTATTATTATATATATTATATATATTTTTTTTCTTTTAATTAATACATCCTTTGTGGACATCAAGGCACACCCGCAGGTTGTATTGTATTTGTCTGTTCATACAACATTAAAAAAGAAAAATAAAGAATTAAAAAAAAAAAAAAAAGGAAGGTTTTACCTAGTCTGAGCCACTCCCATCGGTCCTCCCACTTGTCAATCATGTCTTTCCTCTTGTCCGTCAACTGTAGCAACTTTTCTTTAATCTGAGGAGAGAACAAATATTTAAATTAAACACATTTACGGACCCCTTCCTTTTAATTACAAGCTTTACTGCCAAAATCTAAACAGATTCAAATCAATGAAAAATTATATTGAATACATAAAAATATTCAATTCAATTTCTGTGAAATGAACCCCTATATCCCTACAGAACACAAGAAGGTGCTGCTGAAGGAACACATGTTTCTCAAAGATTTTTTGAACGGTAAAGATAGAAGTTAAGAATGTAACTATGGTCAAATCCCTGCAGTCAGAAGGGATAAAATAAAAACACCTTTATGATGGACCTCCCCCACCAGCTTTTTTTTAAATCACGAAATTTGGACTTCAGTGTCAAATTTCATCAATGTCACCACAGTATATAAAGTATAATATTCTTGTTTACACTTCGAGCTAAAATATGAACTGTTATATTAATTCATTGTTTATCTTGATTTTATTCTGGGGGAGGAATTAAAGCTGTGTTCACGCTTGCATACACACTACATAAATTTAGGACTAAACTGTGGAAAAACACCATAAATGGACCTAGAGGTCTACATCCGGTCTAAACCATCCAAATAATGTCCCTTGTGCATCAATAAAGTTCCATCTAAATCCAAATCTAAACCAGGAATGTGTGTGTATGGAGTAAACCGAAGTGTTGGTGGTACCTCTTCTGAAGCGTAGTGTTTTCGTGCCAGCAGAGCCTTGCCCAACTCGATGCAAGCGGTGAAGCTGTCATTACGGGCATCGATCTCGGCCTTGATGCCCTGGTGGTTGTTCATGAGCAGCTCCACAGACGACACATCCCTGGAAATAACACAAACAAATCAGGTTAGCTTAGCATTACCCTCGCACAGATAGATAAAGGGCCCATATTACAATATTTTCTGATCTAGTTATAATGTTGTTTCCTCGTCAAAAACATATTTAGGCTCAGTTCTTCTCTTAAACGGAATACACTTTTTTCCACCTTGCGATGTCATGTGATTATACAGGAATTGCTCCACTATGTTTTTAAACTTCATACACCTTCACTAGAATCAATTGGATGACTTCAGATCTGGACTTGCCTCTGCAGGACTAAAAGGTAACTGTTAACTTGAAAACTATCTTTTAATGACATCACAAGGTGGAACAGAGCATTTGAGCTTTGGAGATGTACAATGAATGAATGGAGCCAAACACTATGGATGACGTCACACTCCCTTAGTTCACTTTATACAATCTATGGTTGTAATAATCCTGTAGAGTCTTTCTCAATACAGTACCTGGGCTTCTCCTGAGCTTCGATCAGGCGGATGACGTCCTCCATCCAAAGCATGAGGTCCCGGACCATACTGAAGAAACGGAACTTATCTCCAGTGTCCAGCAGTTTGACCCTACGACCCTCCACCGCCTCCAGCAGGTTCTTCCAGGCCTCCAGCACCTGGGAGCACACAGGCAGATATACAGACATATTAGACACAAAAATCAACATAAAATACACTGCAAAAGACACAAATGTTAAAGGCCCCATATTACACTGTTTTCTGATCTATCTTGTAGTGTTGTTTCCTCATCACAAACATACCTTTTTTTTTGTTTTATTCACACATGTTTAACACACAACTCTCTCATTAAAAACACTCTGTTCCACCTTATGATGTCATATGGTAATACAGGAATTGCTCTACTGTGTTTTTAAATTCAGATTTAATTCAGACAGAATATATATCATTTGGATCATTTCAGATCTGGAATTGCTAATCTCTGCTGAATAAGAAGTAAAAAAGGCAGCTGTTAACTTGAAAACTAACACTTAATGACATCACAAGGTGGAACAGAGCGTTTTGAGCTTTGGAGACATACACCGTGTAATAATTAGGATTACTCAAACATGTGCGAATGAAACAAAATACAACTTAAAAAAGCTCAAAAGAGTCAATTCTGTGTAATATAGGACCTTTAAGTTTGGAGTATTTATTCTTGTACAAATGTGGTTCTCTATAAACCCACAGTGTAGGCCTGGGTCTGTGTAGCACGGGCTGCATATACATTCATTTGAATCGTAACAATGGAGAAAATGTACAGTGTGCAGGTCATGTTCATTCTCTTTACAAACACCTGAAGAACTGCTGTTTGTTTTGCTGAATTAACTTAAAGCTCTACATGTAACATTTTACATAGAAGCCAGGCTGGGCAGCAGACACATGTAAGACATTTAGCTAATGCCCTACAAGCAGCAGAAGCAATTACAGCTAATACTAAATGCTAACAGGCTGCTACATGAACACAAACAGCTAATGCTAATGGGCTGCTACATGAATACAAAGTGCTGAGGCGTCAGAAATCCTTCAAACACTTCCCCAGGTGGCCCAGTTAAACTCTCGTGTTAGCATGTACTCTGACTATAGTACTCTATATACTGTATACAGGGACAGGTCTCTCATGCAGAACCGTTTGTTGTAAAGCAGGGAACAGGAGTCAGCAAAAATCCACTGAGTGCATGTGCTTAGTCCAGTGAATGTTTGCACATCAGCAGAGTGAGGCAGCGCTGCATGAGAAGACTAAAATGACTCATTTTAGTCAGGCCTTATTCAGCCTAAAACTGCAGCCACGAGGATGCAAAGCCAGGGTCTAAGAGTCTCACCTCTCCCTTTCTCCTCTGGAGGAACGCAGACAACATACATACATAAATACATACAGGGAATGGTCAAAACACACGTCAACAACACTGGAGCTCATGTCTCTAAACCTTAACAACAGAAGGACCTTTACCCCTTTTATTCAGTTCAACTGCCCTGAGAGCATGGACACATCCACAGTGAACAAGAAATCCTCACACTTCTCTCTTACATTTTGCACTGATCAATTCTTTCCCAATAATTGAAACCAGCATCAGTGAAAACCCTGACGCAGTCATCAGTTATTGCCCTTGTGTCATGTATTTTGACCATGCCCTGTATGCTAGCTCCTGCATGCTCCCTGTATGGAGATGCTACATATGAAAGAGATCTGGAAGATGAATCCAGGATGGTGTTGTGTTTTCAGTGGCCTGTGCTCATTGGGGTAAATCTCAAAAATGTTTTCTTCTGCATTACTCCCTGAATATTGACCTGGCCTCGCCCACATATCAGAGTGAGAGTTGTTAGAGCGGAGCTAACGCAAGCTCAGACTGGAGCTAGGCTAAAGCTAATTTAAGCTAACCTTTAGATCAGGCATGTCCAAACTATGGCCCGTGGACCAAATGTGGCCCTCAGACCAATTTTTCTTGGCCCAAATTACCTTGCATCAATTTAAAATTAACTTTTTACTGCAAGTTTTTTGAGAATCTACCTTGATAAAGCCAATATTTAACATTTAGCATGTGGTTTTAAGGATCTTAGCACAAATAAAGACTGATGGCTCATTCTAACATGCACATATTTCAATTATTCACTGTACTGAGCATCAGTCTACGGCCCTCGATCGGCCCTCTGCTTCATCTGTATTTAGAAATGTGGCCCTTGATGAAAAAAGTTTGGACACCCCTGCTTTAGGCACTTTGACAGTTAACAAACTATATATATTAAAAATACAGACCTTTGTGAAAGCCAGATGCCCTGTCAGAACTCAGGCAGCTTGATTTCACAAAAATGCATTGTGTTCTATGGGAGAATACTTTCTGGGCTTAAGTTCCCGGGAGCTGCAGTACCTGGAGCAGCCACTAGTCGACCTCACATGGCGTCTAACAGGGAGTGTCTCATCCACTTTTTATATATCCATGGCTAGTTCCTGTATGCTAGCTCCTGCATGCTAGCCTTATGTCCTGTTTTCATCCTGAGTTAACAGTTTGTGTGTTGCCTGTAGATTTCATCAGCGTTATTTGGACAGGCCCTACATTTAAAGTGTGGTCCTGCAGAGGCAGTGCAGCATGCGTCACCAGAATCACAGAACTCAAACCTCATGCACCAGCTCAGGGCTTGTTTGTCACACAGGGTTCACAGCTCTTACACTGAGCACATTATAAAGCAGGTCTCACCTCGCCTTCTCTCTTCTGGATGTCGTCAGCTTTGTCCCCGGCGTACGCAGACTGCAGACGAACGGCATCCTCCTGCAGCTGTCGCACCTGAACCAAACACACAACCAATCTATATTAGCATAAAAATATGGCATTATGAGGGCTAAAAGATTTGTGATTCTGATTAGATTTAAAATTTCTGGTTTAGCAGAATTATGTTAAAAGCATTATGTACTATTTCTAATCAGTTTTTGGCAGGTAACTAGGTCAATTTGCAACTTTCTGGTCAAAACTCCAAATCTAAGGTTTATTCTGCCTTCAGCGGAGACTGTGATGATTTCCAGTAGTTGGTGACATCACGCATGAATGATCTGACATGTCTATTATTTTCCTTGCTGTTTCTTACCCTGTGAAGTTGAACGCTTCTCCTAATCCGCACCTCATGTAAATCGGACTGTGCTGTGCAACAGGTATTACAGCACATATCGGCTTCTCCAAATGTGTTATCGGGATCTTTGAAAATTCGATTCACAACACCTCAATCATAGTTGCACCCTCCCCTGTATTGTACCTGTGTGCCTAGTGCCTGGATGTCATGTTCAAATGTGGTGTGCATCCTCTGAAGGGTCTCCACGGTGTTCTGGTCCCGTCCCAGCTCCTCGGGCAGCTTCTTGTGCTTGTCCAGGATGCGGTTGAGGATCTCCTTTGCATCGTGGTAGAACTTGTGGAGTTCGTAGGAGGCGGCGAGGATTTGCGTGCGTGTGTCAATGAGCTCCAGAAGGTCTGCCCAGGCCTCGTTCAGCCCGTCCTTCCACTCAGCGATGGTGGCGGCGTCACTGTGCCCAGCATTGATCAGCTCATCAGCCAGCCTGTTCACGGCGTCCACGCGCTCCTGCCCAATGTTGCCAGTGTCACGGGCGAACTCACGGAAACGCTCCTGTAGCATCTGGAAAGAGGTATAGCAGGGTTAAAAAATGGTGCATTTTCAATATTGTATGTTCAACTATGGTCATCATTATCTTCAAACAGACACTTTTTCAGTATCTTTTATAAACTCACAGTGACATGTTCGTAGTCCTGTCCGAGCTCGTGTGACCCGGCGACCACCTCCCTCTCTGCGATCCACTGTTCCAGATCGTCCACTTCTCTGTTCAACTGGAACAGCCTGAAGCGCTCGTCCAGTTTGCCCCTGCGCTCCTCAGACAGGTCCTTCAGCCCTGCGTAGAGTTTATCCACCTGGGACTGACGCATGCCAATACGCTCGCTGGAACACAGCCCACAGAGGCTTTAAGTATACAGTACTATAAACCTCACATGTCACATGTAAAGGCTTTTGTTACTGACTGACCTGTCTGGATGTCCAGCGGCCACCAGCCCCCTGCTGGTCGAGGAGAGCTGGTGCACAGTGTCTGCGTAGTCCTCCACAGCCTGCTCCAGGATCTGGTGCTTCTTCAACATGGCCACAGAACTCTGCTCATCCTACAATACACAAATGTACATTTATATTCGAACTGTGAATGTTAGAGCTGTCCCATGATCAGTGTATGACATGAATCTGGATGTAGAGAATAGTACCTTGGCCTTCTCCTCAGACATCATGTAGAGCTCCTGTTCACTCATCCAGGCCTCGGCCTCTGCTGCGTCGAAGTAGTACTGTTGTGCTTCATGGGCCTGGCTCAGCCTCTGATGTCTGTTCTCAGTCTCCTGCCTGATCTGGGCCCACAGAGCCTGGAGCTCAGACAGTCTGTGCTTGATGGCCTCTGCTGTGGGGGTGTTCTGCCTCAGGACGCTCTGGCTGCGCTCAAAGATGTCGTCATAACGAGGCTGGTGGCCCTGGATCTCCTTCTGAAGAGTCTGGAGAGACAGCATTTACATTAGCCCTCATGTGAATTAGCCTCATGTGAATCTGACATTTAGAACCTTTATACTACAATGGAACACTGCAAGGGTTAGATTTGGAAAATGGATCTTAATTAAATTATTAGAGCTAGAGATTATTAGTTTTTTTGTAAATATTTTGAACTCACTGTCTCTAAATTGTTAGATTAACTTTCATTACAGGTTTGTTTTACTCTAAATGAAAAATAAAAATTTTGAATAACTAGCAGTGTTGGGGAAGTTTAGTAATTAGTTACCCATTACTAGTTACTTATTCAAAAAGTAATGTATTACACTACTTAAGTTACTGTCTCAAGAAATTAAGTATTATATTACTTGGGGAATGCTTTATTCGTGATACTGTATAAATTACCCAAATACGTGCTTTTGTGTTTTATTAAAAACATTTAAATAAAGGCACAAATGAGTTGTCTGGCTCAGATGACATTGTCCCATCTCATCCCATATTTCACTTCAAGCACTTTCACCAAGCTCCTGTGTAAGCTGTGTACACTGCAGAGGAAGGTTCTGTCTCCTCACAAACACTGGTGTTGGTGTTGTTGAGTATTTTCACAGTAATGAATATAAATAGATATATAAACTAGAGACCATGTTTATGTGTGAGTAACAGACACATTTACTATAGTTTGGAGTGTACCTGGTTCTTCTTGATGAGCAGCTGAACCGTCTGTAGGTTGTGTCCATGGTCTGTGGAAGTGGCCAACGGCATTCTCTCTTCCACCCACAGCTGTAAAGATGTGTGAATATTTATTAAACTAAATGCTAAAACCACACTCGCATTTACGTCACAAACCATCCTATTTTTAAACATATTATTCAGAGTAAAGTTCAAACTCACAATCTCATCCTCCACATCCCTGTTGAACTGGTGGATCTCCCTGGAGGCCATGAGCATGTCTCTCCTCTTCTGCAGTGGGGACTGGAGAGACTGGAACCTCCTCTCCACGCTGACTCTCTGTCCGTCCACCTCCTCTGAGCCTTTCCCCTCCTGACTCAGGGCCTGGGACTGAGACTGCAGCTCCTCCACCTCCTTCTGCCGCACCTCCACCTGACTCTCCAGCATCTGAAATCACACGAGCAGGTTTAGGAGGAGGTATGTGCTCAGGTCTGCTTTATTAAAGGTAAGAAGGTAAACACACACTGTCCTTTTCACATTCACAAACATAATGTGGGCAAATGCAGCTCTGAAGTGATGTGAAGCTAAACCCAAGGACTAAAAATAATCTGTAGAAGTGTCAGGCGCTTCACAGCACGGCAGAACTCCACATTAACAGAACAGCTCAGTGATTTAATGATAATGTTCAAGTACTTTTTACTTCATAAACCTTTACTATATTTGTACTACTGTATGTTTATGCTGTCTTAATTTTTGTACACATGAAACTGCATGTTATGTTGTATGTGGCACATGCCAAAAGTCGTGCTTATCTTCTGTCTTAAGAATACCATTCTAGACATTTATTTTGGGGGGGAGGCAAACAATAACTTACATTTATGCTTTAATCACGTTTCTCTGTGCATTTGAATATTACAAATACCTACACAATGAATTAATAAATATGACTAAATATAGTAGCAGAGTCTATTATAAAAATAGTTATCATAAACATTACATTTTTCTTTTCGATAACTGAATAGTTTTGGTGATAACGTCTGCTAAACTTTCCCTGTAGTCAATTTATTCATTCAGAATTCTTTTATAGTAATAAGTGTCAGGTAAGAATAATTAGGTACTAGGGATGGGACAAGCTCTCATACTGCAACATCTTGCAAGACAGAACTGACACAAACTCGTGCATGCATGAGGAAAATGATCTTGTGAGATTTATTCCCTTTGAATTTACCTTTGGCTTGGACTAAAAATGGGTTAAGAGCTGGTGAGTTATACAATTTGAGAAGCTGTAGTTCCAAAAAGCAGCACTACAACGACCGCTAAAATATTACATAAAATAAATACAAATGGTGAAGGCAAAATTTGCACTTCACCATTTATTTATTACAAATATGTCAAAACCTTGTCTTGGCTCATTCTCATGGACCTGATCTCATGGTGTGTCTCGTTTCATCAAAATTATGTCTTGTCCCACCCCCTGAGTATTTGGATATCGGCCATGTGAGAGTGCATTTTTTCACTTTTACACAGAATAATTATCAATGGTTGTGTCTATATGGTGTATTGTGCAGTGCAGTGTTTTTAGGGTGAATATTCATTTTCATACTCCTGCATTATTAGGGCCATTTAAACACTCAGAGTTTTCTTGTAGAATTTTGCTTCTCTTACAATCCCAAAATGACTGCTGCATATGCCATAACATGGGCAACAGAATAGTCTTTCTAGTTTTCTTATACTTCACTGGTTCATCCAAATTCCCTCCATAGGTCCTAGGGCTGTGGTCAACAAATTCTTTTCCTGCATTTCCTGCCGATAGATCAATAATCTAAAAAGGGGCGTTGCAAAAACACTTACAACACTACACCTGCAGGGGGAGTTCATGCAGAAACAACTATTTATGCAGAAAAAGTACTAGACTGTATTTAAATTTCACTCTCAAATCTTTAGCTAATTCTCTCAATATCTTTAGCTTTTTGTTATTAAATAAACAAAAGGACAATTAACAAATAACCTATAACTCTAATAGATCCCTGACTCTTTGCCCTTCTCACCTGTTGTTTCTTGAGCAGGATGTTGACTGAGGTGAGATCTTTGCCGTAGTCATCGGACATGAGTTGGCCGTCCAGATTCTCCAGCCACTTGTCCAGGTCGGCACAGCTCTGGGTGAACAGCTCGGCTTTGTTGGCGTCGAACAGACACTTGGCTTTGGTCTGAGTGGTGCCCTCCAAATCGCCCCACATGCCCTTCAGAGCCGACAGCTTCTCCTTCACCATGGCCTCGGTCTCAGGCTTCTCTGCCATCAGCGTCTGTCCATCCTGGAGATACACAAGGGCAGTATTGTAGTTGTAGAGTATGTCACAATATTGTATAGTATTTGGATTTTGTTGAAAGAGGCAGAGGTCAAAGAGGCCTATGGCACAGATTGGCGGCCTCTCCTCAGGGCAGCTGTGGCTACAGTTGGATCTCTCCACTACCAAGTATGGACTGAATGAATAATGCACAAAATTGTAACTACTTAGAGTGTCTAAGACTACTGCATTATTCTTATTACTAACCCCAATTTTTCTCCTCCTTGAGAGTTTGGATTAAAACTAACAACTGTTGTTCAACAAATATTATAAACTGTTTTCTGCAGATGATTTGAGAATCACTGCCTTAAATATATTAACTTCAAAGCAGTTTAGACCCACTAAGATCTGTTTTGTGAGGTTGACCAAGGTGAAAAAATGTAACTGCCAATTACGTGCATTACAACTGTGATTTCCATTTGATTTTCCATGATGGTGAACTTTCCAAGAAATTCAGTTTTCAGACCTTTTGCACCAAAGAAATATTGCACCACTCCATAAGCCATAAACAATAGCATAAACAGTGACTTCTTGTTGTACCTTCTCGATCTTGTCCAGCCACTCCTTGTTGGACTGCAGCTCAGCCATGAAGGCCTGGTGCTTCAGCCATTTACTGTGGAGGTTTCTGGCCTCGTCATAAGACATGTCCTGGGCCGTCAGCATCTTCTCGTTTATCCACAGAGACAGCTGAGAACATAAACAAAACATTAGATTTATGACTACAATATAAGAACATACAGACTCGGATTAGGAGTACAAACTACAAAACAGAATCCTGTTCCACAGTAGCAGTATAGATGCATATTTCACCTCTTGACAGTCCTGGAGGAACTTCTGCAGGTCTCTGTTGTCCTTCAGCCTCATCAGCAGCTCACTGGCGGCTTCTCGGTTCTTCTTACGTCTGCACAACAAACAACAGTATTTGAATCTTTGGAACTAGAAATGACACTGGTGTCTTTCAGCCACTTGTTTTGAGATTTTGCCTGAAATGCTCCTCAGTATGGCATTAAATTTCTTTCCGTTTATGTAAACAAACAGTTAAGCTATCAAACCAAGATACAGGTCAGATCTGTGGAGAGATGAGCCCGCTTAGAGAAAGAATAGATGTTTTCCAAGGTATTGAGCAATGAAAACATCAATAAAAAATAGATTAATATATTTAGTATCACATTATAGAACATTCATATAATTTAGCATTTGTCAAGAATAAGGTAAACAAAAGGTTTTTTATATTATATTATTTCATTCTTTCTATAAACTAAATGAAAAAAAAAAAGAAATAGAGCATATACCTGGATTCGATGGAGTCGACCTTCTCCTGGATGCGGTCTGCGTTGATGTTGCCGTCGGACACTAGGCGGCGCCCTGAGTCCACCACAGCTCCGATCTTCTCCTCGTTGGCGTCCATCGTGGTCATGAAGTCCTCCTGCTTCTTGATGGCAGCCTCTGCCCCCTCCAGTGTAGTGGGCATCTCTGTGTGTGCCAGGACGTACTCCTGAGGAAATACAGTAAGGAGTAGGATTATTATTGAAGGTTAAATTCATGAGAACATAAAGTACTTTAAATGTACATAAATGATTAAATGTGTATTGTAATTACACATTTCTTCCTGATGAGGGCAGCCACACATATCAGTTACATATAGAAAGGACACTACTCATTGGAGGAAAGAATTACATAATCATAATGTTAAGAAAGTGGCAATGGAGCTTTGAAGTTGAGTTTGAAGTTATGGCTTGAACAAAGTCACAGTTAGACTCCGTATTTTTTACAAGGAATGAAAAAATTAAGAACAAGTCTTAGGAATAAAAATGTTTGTCAATTATAAGAATGTTGTGAAATCCAGATAAAATGTCATTAAACTGTTAAAGAGACTGGTGGTAACTTTTTCCTGAGCTTTTTGTGAATGCAGGACAGGACGTGTATTTTAGTCAGTACTGTGTTGTCATAGGGTTTATATTATGTAAGAGTACCTGGTTGTTGAGGAAGGCCTCGGCCTGTTTGGTGTCTCTGAGGAACATCTGGTACGCGTGGGACTGGGACAGGAGGTTCTGGCGGTTCTCCCACATCTTGTGCAGCTCGTTCCAGCCAGTGTCCAGCGCCTGCAGCCTCTGCCTCAGGAACATGTACTGAGCGTCAGTCTGACCCTGTGTCACCATCTCTCCCATGTCCCTCATCTTCTGGTAGTCCTCCTCATAGTTTCGGATCTCGTTCTTGATGTTCTCATGTTGGGCCAGCAGCTTCTCGGCCTCGGTCAGAGTGTTGGGCATGTCCTCAGAAGCGATGGCTGTCTGTGTGCGAGAGAGCCACGACTGGAAGTCATCCAGTTCCCTAAAGAACTGCTGCAGCTTCGAGGCCTCGCCCAGAGACTCCTCACGGTTCTTCATGGTGTCCTACACAGATGGCACACAGGGTTAATAATGCACTCACAATAATCACAAGACACTCTTATTCTATTCAATCTTATTCTTTATATTGCTGTAGTGCTTGTCTGTCTATTATTATAACCATTGGTCTTTTGCCATTTTGCTCATGAGGGACAGTGAACTTTTAATCTCTGCTGTCTGATCTACTCTAATTCTGAGAGATTTCAAATCCTGTCTCCTGCCTTTTTTGGAGTAAATAAATATATATCAAATTGCTTTAAATAAGGTTTAGAGACCAAGTAAAAAGTCTTTGATGAGCCCATCATCATTTAAGCTTGATATATTACTCTTTGAAGCTATAGTTCAGTAAAATTGTGGTAGACTCTAGATCTTATGTGCTGATATTAACACTTTTTTGTGACACATTCTACCTTTTATTATAATTGTTCTTTTAGTTTATCCTCCTCCACAGTTGTATTTCTCAGACAGAGTTACCTTCATCTCAGCCCAGACCCCATTGATGTTCTGCAGCTGTCCCTTTATGGCCTCAGACTGCTCGGGATGTTCTGAGGCCAGACGCTCGGCCTCTTTGTCCAGGTCTCCCAGTTTATCCTCGATGGCGGCCAGGTCCCTCTCCATCCCCGTCAGTTTCCTCTGCAGCGCCATCACACCCGCCAGGTCGTTCCCCAGCTCCTGGGTCGACTCGATCACCTGGGCAACGCAACATTGTTAACATTTAAATCACATTAGCAAGTATTTCACATTTACATTTTGTATATAGCAGAAGTAAAATCAAGCTCAACAAAAAATGCTATTCCAGACTGATTTTGATACCACAATGAAGAACTTTTAGACAATAGCATGTAATTTAAAAAAAAATAAAAATAAATTGTTGTTTTTACATATTATATGGTTTTATAACAGCTCTAAATATTATTTATTCTAAAATCATTCAAGAAAGGTAAAAATTATTTGTGAAAAGTCGCTTTGACAACCTTAGTATGTCGGAAATTCAATGTCAATCACAGTTTGTGTGTGAGTCTCTGTGTTACACGTATTAACCACCAGGGGGCAATGGAAGTTAGTCAAATCATACCAGCACCAACAATCTAACATCTATTTAAAAAGAAAGTTAGGTTGGGTCGGTATTGTGATTAACTGTTTTGTGTAATAATGTTAGGTAGGAAAATTACACAACACAGCTGCTTAATAGCTAACTGTTTTCAGAATGATAAAATATTAGGATAGATTATAAAATGAAATACATCTTTTAAATGGGCCCTCAAAATGTTATAAAATGCCTATAAACTTCTTAAACCAATGGCTAGCTTCAGATGTCTGTGCATATCTGAACAGTACCTTGGTTTTTTCCTTGATCCAGGACTTGGTCTCGTTGCACTCCAGGTGGTAGTTCTGAACCCCCAGAGCTGAGTTCAGGCTGTCCTTCTTCTGATCCACCAGGTCTCGGAACTGACCCCACCTGAACCAGAACACAGGGATGTAAGGAAACTCACTTGAGCTAACTTATATTACACGAAGATTTGTTGTAATATATATATAGATGTTCAAATATTAACAAAGGCAGCTGAAAAGTGTAAACATTTAAAGGCCCCATATTATGCTATTTTCTGATTTATGTTCTAATGTTGTTTCCTTATCACAAACAGACCTGGAGTTGTTTTTTGTTTCATTCATACATGAATAACACAAACCCTGCACACAAACTGAAAACACTCTTCCACCTTGTGATGTCATGTGATAATACAGGAAGTGCTCCACTGTGTTTCTAAACTCTATACACCTTCACTTAAAATCATTTGGAATTGCCAATTTTAACTTGAAAACTACCACTGCATGACATCACAAGGTGGAACAGAGCATTCTGAGCTTTGGAGATACAGACAAACAAATAATGTAGTGTTACCCAAACATGTGAGAATGAAACCAAATAACACCAGGGATTTTTTTAATGAGGTAACAACATTGTGACATGGCTACAAGCTCAATGAGGATAAATAAATAATGAATAATAAATGCAAGATAAATATTTTAAATGCTCCACTGTCGAAATTTTTTTTCAATGACGGGTATTAATACTTTGAAAAGAACACATAATTCACATTCGGATTTGTAATTTGGAGACTGTATTATCTGCTTGTCTCCGTGGTGACATAAAATAAATGCCATAGAGTGAAACATTTCAGGCACAGCATAAATAAACTTCTCCATGGAGACAAGCTGCTCCAACAGAAAAGTTCAAGTACACTTTTAAGAGGTAATCAACTTTTAAATTCTTGTTCAATGTTTTGAGTTTAATTTCATTTATTTTGAATCACTAAATAGGTAAATATTACTTTTGGAGCAACACATTTGTCTTTAATATAAACCTGCTTTGCTTGTTTAATTGGTTTAGTCTGTTAATCTAGACAAACTTCCTAATATAATCACAGACTCCATCAAGTCTGGCTCCAATTCACTATGTACTGAAAAAACCTCACCAGACTCTCAGCAACAGCTCCTGTCAGGCTAATCATTTTGGTCTTAAAATATTTCTCGATTTTGTACGTAAATAAATCCCTATTCCTATCACGGAACCTGGCTCCAAATTTGCTCCTACAGCCAATAGCATCTGTGAGCTTTGACTCCTTTAGTCCACTTTTGTTTTTCAGTCTACGAGTACACCTTTAAAATGTAATCAAAGTTCAATTCTTCCTCCAAAGTTTTGAACAATAACATTAATAAGTTTGAACTAGAAAATCACGACTGCCCATTACTTTTACTTTAGTGTAGGCCTGCTTTGCGTGTTTACTGGGTTTAGTCCGACAATCTGGACAAAATTCCCTTTCTAACAATCTATAATCTGGTTCTCTGCTTGGATTACCTTGTGTTGAGAGTGTCCTGCTGGGTCTTGATCTCCTTCTCGCTGGGGTGTCCACTGTGCAGGAGCTGACGGGCCACCTGGTTCACCACAGCGACCCGCGAAGCCTGGCTGTTCATCTCCGGCTCCAAACTCTCAAAGCTATCGTAAAAGAAAAATAAGAGTCTAAATTAGGCCTTTATTGTGTTTCACTTTAGTCATAATCCCCAGTCTTGACAACATGACTGTAACTAGAGTGGGCAATGTGGGTGAAGTCTTGCCCGGTGAGATTTGAACCATTTCACTGCTACCAATCATTATCATCTTTGCACTGTTTTCCTTAGGACCTCTTGCATATAGCTGACATATACATAACTATATTCTATGTTTTATTTTGACTTATTTTGACATATACAGGGTGTCCCAAAAATTTGACATAATTTCGCAGGTCAATAATTTTGGCATTTCTTGTTGAAATAACCTCAATTTCTTTACAGAATGTATAGAACACACATCAAGATTTTATATTGAATGTTTTATTTTTGTTTTGTTTTCAGGTTGAGCCATGCCGTTCACTCCCAAAGAGAAGTCTTTTTGCGTCATGGCATTTGCTTGCACACACTCACCCAAGATTGTGCAGCCTTCAATGCAAAATTTAGAAAAACTTCACCAAAAGGCAAACAAATTTGGACTTGGGATCAAAAATTTAAAGAGGAAGTCTGCTTCTAAAGGGCTAAAGGATCTGGTAGACCAACATCAACATCATCTCTGAGCTAGACTTAGTAGATTTCAAGATAATTGCTTTTAAAATGACACCATGTACATTTATATAATTATGCCATATTTGACACCAGTCTCTTGCTATTTTTGCTACTTATTTTGAAGATATTATTACCATTTCTATTTTTGCTCTTTGTTATTATAATATATTGTGGTGCGTGAGATACCGTGTCCAAATAATTTCCCCTGTGGATCAATAAAGTTTAAGTCTAAGCCTATTTATCAAACGCTTACTAATAACCAACTGTCACCCGTTAGATTAAATGTATGAAAAGACTGCAGTAGATGCATCGAGGATAAACACTTCAGTAGTTTGAGACTCTGAACCTCCATAACCTTCAAACCACACGCCCTTACACACTGACAGACCATCTGGGCAGAGTTCGTATGAAGTTATGTGGTTAAACACAATGTAAGAATGTACCAGAACACTCAATCTTGTAAAAAATAAAGAGCACAGACATCCTAAACACACAGCAACACACACAGACACACACACACACAGACACACGCATACATACATAACTCCAGAGTAAACACGGTCTGAGCTCTCGTTCCCACACACTAAATCCACAGGAACAGTAAATAAACAGGAGCTATTCTGAGACCAGAAGAAAGTGTGAGGTTAAAGTCAATAAACCAAAGACTAACCCAGGACACGGAACGAGAGTTAGAACTGCTCAATAACAGATATAATGATGCAATACTAAAAGTCTGACAATAATTACATGGTTGTTAGATCAAACAGTGAAAGATACACGACTAGATTCCTACCATACTCCATACAACTGTACAACTCAACCTTATATAACAGATAATACTCCCTATAGTTTCCTTATGACCTATTGTATATAACTGAGATAAATTTGTATCACTTAATTTCTATATTTAGTTTGACTTGTACTTATATTTTTATATAATTATGCCTTATTGACACCAGTCTCTTGCTATCTTGCAGTCTATTGAATCTATTATTACCATTTATATTACTCTTTGTTATTATATTATATTGTGATGTGTGAGCTACTGTGTTAATTTCCCTTGTGGATCAATAAAGTTTGTCTAAGTCTGGAAAGTTACATTTCTGTAAAGCCTCCTGTAAAACAGTACTGCGAGATGAGCTCTGTGAAATATGGGTATTGTTTAGATTGTGTACAAAGTCCAGTTTACACAGAGATCATTGGAAAAGAAGCTTTTACCTTTGGAAACCAGTTACCACCTGTCGACAATATAAAGATAGACTAGACCAGACAAGTATAGTCATAATTTCGATAAAGTGTATTATAGCTGAAAATCACAAATTGTTTATTCCCTTTCGGATCAGAGGATGAGCTCTCTGTCAACTGAGTGTAAAGCCTTAAAGGGACAGTCTGGAAATTTGGACATTGGCTCACTAGGAAATGAGGCCCTGAGTGTTGGAGACGTGTGGAGACACTTTTTTAAAATATTCCATCCAGTCCTTGTATTTGCAGAGGTCGCTGGTGCTAGGCTAGTGCATGTCAATGGCCATAGTTAGCCTGCTACTAAAAACAGTCTTACCCACTCCACAAAACACCCAAAACAAATCTGTTATTACATCAGACTGTCCATGTAAATGTCTGTGTTGATAGAATAATTTTAGAAGTAAAGCCAGCCTTGCATTTGAAGGATTTATGTCTGAGCAAGAGCAGCGAGTTGTACTTCCTGATAGAAAGCATGGCAGCGGCGGACTGATATATGAGAAAATAGTCCCTTTAAGTCTGATTAATAGTTTTATTTCAAACATTATTCTATCAACACAGACATTTACATGGACAGTCTGGTGTAATAACAGATTTACTTTGGGTGTTTTGTGGGCCATTGACATGCACTAGCCTAGCACCAGTGACCTCTGCAAATACAAGGACTGGATGGAATATTTTAAAAAAGTGTCTCCACACGTCTCCAACACTCTGGCTCACTAGGAAATGAGGTTCTGTGTCCAAAATTCCAGACTGTCCCTTTAATGTGAGAAGGATTTTCACTAAAAACATGTAAGGCTTTTAATTGACGTAAAAATACAAGAGCATAGTATTCAGGAATATGTGAGATGGAGAGTTAAAGATTGTATTAAGCAGATAGTGATAAAATCTAAAACCCTGAACATGAGAGACAGGTCTGTACTTTGACAATGTTTAAATTCAGGCTCAAAATGGTTCTCTTTAGCTATGCATATGACTGAAAGGCTTTTTATTCTGCATTCTTCTCTTTTAATGCTGATTATTTATGTTTGTTTTGTGATTTTAATATCTTTCTTATTCTGTAAAAGCACTTTGAATAACTTTGTGTACAAAATTGTGCTGTACAAATAAACTTGCCTTGCCTAAAAAACGCTTTCACCAAAGTTAAGACAATAATAATCTGTCTTTAGTCCCCTGGGCTCCTGCTGATACTGACCGGTGCTGCACCACCTCCAGGTCCTCCAGTTTCTCAGGGATCTCCATGCTGTTGAGCCACTGCTCCTTCTCGTCGATCCAGAGCTCACAGGCGTTGGCTTCACTCATCATCTTATACAGAGACAGAGCGTCCTGCAGGGCCTGCTTCCTCAGACGGGTCAGCTCTGCCACCTCCTTATAACGCTCCTCTATCCCAGCCAGCCTGCTCTGCACCTGCACACACAAACACACACACACACAACACAACAAACATTACTTCTACACATTTAAATCAGGGGGAAAGGGTCGGAAATATATTTCATCATGCTTTTTTTTTCAATCTTAATAACTGGTAATTATTCAGGACTAAAACTATGATAAACAGATACTTTCCCTCCTAATGAATAAGAAGATAATGAAGATAAATATACAAGATACAAAAACACTGGACATAATGTAATTAGCCATGTGAGTAGCCAATCAGAAAGCAGAATGAGGATCACATGAGTCATTTGAGTTTCAATGCTGAACTCCAGTTGGTTTAAACCTAAAATGCGTCTCTCTGATCTGAATGGTCACTGTCTAAACCCCAAAACCTGCACCAGTCATGAGTCAGTGCTACTGCAGCCTCTGCAGCTCAGGGAGGGAATTCTAGAGATTCTGAGCTTTCACATGAGACATGACCTGTCCATATACTGAGAATGAGAAACTCATTGTCCTCTATCTGCAGGTTAAAGGCACTGTAACACAGGCTCAGTTCTGTAATACCAATCCCCATGAGGTTTTTCAGGTTAATTAAAAGGTTACATAAAAAAAAGAAAGAAAACATTAAATCCACTTAATCTACTCTTTCTTTCACCCCTGTCCCTCGGGGAAACTTCTTGAGCGTTCGTACCTCCTCAGAGTTGGCCTTCTCGGGGGGCAGGGTTTTGGACTGTTCGTGGAGGGCGTCGATCACAGGTCTGTAGCTGGAAATCTCCTCGGCCACATCTTTGTGCTTCTTCACCAGAGCCTGAGTGGAGAACTCATCATGACCCACATCCACAGAGGAGACGATTCTCAACACGTCCAACATCCAGGTGTCAATGTCATCTGCATCAGCCTGAGGAACAAGAGAGGGATAGGAAAAGGAAGGAATACAAGTAAAGTCAGTCATTTGTTCATTTTAGATATAAAAAAAGTGTTAAAAAATCATGGCTGTGACTTACCTGGAACTGATGCTGGTTACAGGCTTCTTGTAGTTTGGCTTTGCGGACAGCAGAGAGGCGCTCTAGAGCCGCCCACTGGTCCTAGAGGAGAGGAAGTCATTGTTGCATTTATATAAACTATTCTTTCTTAATATATATATTTTTTCATCTCAGTGCCGTGTGTCTACCTGGAGGTCCTGGATTCTCTCTTTGATCTTGTCTGCTCCAAAGTGATTGTTGGCCACCAGCTCCTCTCCCTGCCTGATGGTCTGCTGCAGGTGAGCTCCTCGTCCACTCATCTCGTCCTCGAAGGCCTTGTGTTGGCTCAGGAGACGTACGGCTCCGGTCAGGTCTTTGCCATAGTCCTCAGAGGAGAGGATCTGCTCCTTCTCACGGATCCAGCCCTCCTGTAGACCACAACATAGTGAGAAGGTTCATGTCAGTTATTTCAATACAATATATAAATTATTATATTTTACAAATAACAGAGAGACTGCAGTTAATGTTAATGTTTTAAACCACCAACCCTCCTGTGCCTAAACTAATCTTTAACACTTAATACATTAAAGGTGCATTGTGGAACTTTTCTGGTGGAGGGTCTATCAAATGCTTTTCTCCATCTTGTTGCTTTGTCTGGAATGTTCCGGAGTATGGCATTAAACTTTTCTATCTCCATGGAGACCAAACCAGACCAAGTCACAGGTCAGATCTGTGCAGAGGTGACCCTCTCACAGTCAGAAAGCCTGTTTGTAAAGGTATTAGTGACCTATAAAACCACCTGTAATTGAATAAAGACCAGAAAAATGACATAGTGCACCTTTAAAACAAAGTATAATAGATCATCCTGTTTATAAAGTACATGTGGTTTGTACAATAAAAAACCCCGATACAACTCTCCGTACACACAGGAGGACCACACTGACCTCCTCGGCCATCTCCCAGAAGAACTTCCACAGTCTCCTGGACTCCTCCAGACGAGCCCTGCGCTCTGCGGCCAGCTGACTCAGCTCCTGGTAACAGAAGTCCAGGTGGGCCACGCGGTCTCTGATGATCTGAGGGTCACATGGCTTGTAGCCTACACACAAAGGAAACAGGACAGTTGCAAAAATGAGTCACCTCAAAAATCTGTAATGTTATAAAATATTGCAGGCTTTTCTCATATTGTGTATCAAACTGTGCATCCGGGTAAGATAACAATAAATACAGGCTAGTAAATAAAGGCAATTTAAAATCCAATAGAGTCACATCTAACGTTTACAATCAGTCGAAGATTTACAGTCAATTATTACATCACTAAATATATCAGCTTTTATATCAGCTATCAATACCACCAAAGCCCTTTTATCAGTAGCCTATCATGAATCCATAGCAGCTGAGCCATAGTATAAACCCAGAATAAAATACCATCAGTGTCGTTGGCGAATTTCTGTGCGTTGCTGTTGACATTGCGGACGCGGTCGGCCTGGATCCCGATATCGGCCTCGACCAGAGCGTGTTTCTGTAGCAAGTCCTCCACTCCCAGCAGATGTTTCCCATAGTCCTGAGACAGCAGCAGCATCTGTGGACACATACACAGAGGGAGGGAGAGAGGGGGAGGGCACAGAGAATTTTAGCATACAAAGTTTGGCTCTAAAGTTACATTTTACACATACAAATGGTCTAGGTCCCCAAATGTTCTTAATGTTTGTTTAGAAAATTCTATAGGTATTCTGATGGTAAACAGGTGTTTCGGTGAAAATTTTAGCTTTTCCAAATTAATATTTTTCAGTATACAATAGGGATGCAATGATATTCAATATAATATTGAATAGCCTATTGAACTAGCCTCACGATTGGATACATGTGTTCAGTGTTCACTTGATACAACACGCGTCCCTCCATGTGTGCTGTGTTATCATCAATGTTGCCAAAATGAACGGGTGCACACCCAATTGGGCTTCTTTTGACTACCTCGGGCGGGTAGATATTTGAGCTACTCTCAACAAGTTTGGGCAGTTTTTGTTATCACACCAATCAACAGGATATGCAATAATGCAATAACGTGAGGAACTGTATGAGACTTTCACTCCTGTCCAGTCATATAGAGGTGCGCTCCCACCTGTGCACAAATGAATGGACATCTGCTACAGTCAGACCTCCGCAGCAGCTGCTGCATGTTCTATGTATCATATAAAATATGAATCAAAAGCAAGTTACTAAAGACTGATAAATACTTTTCCACTGCCTGAGACCATTTATCTTCACTAGTTTTGCGGAGTTTTGTTAAAGCCATTGCTGTCAGCTGAGCAGAAATGACACATCATTTCCGCAAAAATAAGAACAATAATTTTTGAAATATACTCACACAAATGAAAATTGTCACAGTTTCGCATAATTTTCTGCCTGTTTTGAGGCTATTTAACATTTTCAGGGACTGGATGACATCATCAGTTGAAAAATAAAACTGCTAATATTTTAAGAGTCATAATCACACAAACAAAACTTCTTACAGCACAAAACGGCAGAAACGAAGCACAAAGGATTGACTTTATTTTGGGCCATTTTAGAGAATTTTTAAGCTTCCTGGGGGGCTGGCTGACCCCAATTTGTACTGTAAAAGTATCATTAATGTCTCAAAATGAACAAACGGAGCATAAACGATTGACAAAGATTTTGCGTAGGTGTGCGTTTGATAGGGGGCCAACTTCACACAGGTGCTGCAGGAGGGGGGCAGAGCAGCACGGACACAAGGAGTGTGCATGCAGAGAGAGGACTCGGGAAGAAAAAAATCATCAAATCAGCATCAAAAAAGGAAAAGTCTGATAGTGTAACTCCCATACAGTCTTTATAAAGAGTAGACTGGTATATTATAAATAAGTTTATGAGTTTATTTATAAATAATCTACAAAAAATGTGAATCAAAAACATCAAAACTTACTATAGTGTTTTTTGGTGTATTCTCTTGTATATTATATTTTCATTCAAAACAAGAACTTACGCCACTAAACCTAACCAGAGCCCTGATGTAAACCTGACTGTTGGCTGTACCTTCATCTCGTCCATCCAGTCCATGATGTAGAGCATCTCCTGGAAGACCCTCTGCAGCCCCAGGTTCATCTCCAGACGGTGCCTCCTGGCCTTCAGCAGCTCCAGCAGATACTCCCACAGCCGGATCACGTTGTCTTTACGTGCAGTGATGCGTTTGATGTCATGGTAACTCTCCGCCTCCAGCTCCCTCGCCACGGCAACCACGGCCTGCAGCGGATCACACGGAGGAGGGAAAATAAGATTAGAATTAAAAAAGATGAGGATGTTAAGTGCAGCCTTAATATTGGATTCAAAGATCAAACTTATGGTGACATTGGTATGGTAACAAAACCTGGAAACAAAACTAACTTATGCATAACTGAACCGGGGCTAAACCAGGGCTAAACCTAAGCCTAAACCAGGGCTAAACCTAAGCCTAAACTGGGACTAAACCAGGACTAAGCCAGGACTAAACCTAACCATAAACCAGGGCTAAACCGGTGCTAAATCGGGGCTAAACAGGGACTAAACCTAACTCTAAAACAGGGCTAAACCTAACCCTTAATAAGGGCAAAACCAGGGCTAAACCAGGGCTAAACCAGGACTAAACCGGGACTAAACTGGGACTAAACGGGACTTAACCGGGACTAAACCAGGTCTAAACCAGGGCTAAACTTAACTATACACTGGGGCAAAACCAGGGCTAAACCTAACCTTAAACCGGGACTAAACCAGGGCTACACCAGGACTAAACCAGAACTAAATAAGAACTAAACCAGAAATAAAGCAGAACTAAACCAGGACTAACTCTAACGTTAAACCACAGCTAAACCAGGACTAAACCAGGACTAAACATAACCTTAACCCAGCACTAAACCAGATCAGTGATTTGTTTAGGATCAGAAACACTTCTCTGAAATTGAATATATCTCCATGGACAAATCCAGAACAGAAGTCCGTGTTCAGTGATTTTGGCATTTTGGTGTGAATTTATATTTTACATATATTATCATATATTATATTTCATGTCTAATGTGTTAACAGTAAATGCCATTAATGCAAGTTCAGTTCTTCCATTTGAAATAAAAGGTAATAGTCTGAGTTTTTTTGTAAAGATTTTACAAGACATAATAGTGACCTGCACTCTCTCCTCGTAGGCTGCGATGTCTGTTTCGATGGCTTCATGTTTCTTGGTGGCAGCTTCTACAGCCTGGAGGTCAAATCCAAAGTTATCCTGTAGGGGGAGACAGAGAGAAGACAATACAGAGGACAGATGAGTAAAGGGAAAATTAACAACATTAATGGGCTTATGTAACGCTAATTTCTGATCGATATTCTAATGTTGTTTCCTCATCACAAACAGACCTGAAGTTGTGTATTGTTTCGTTCACACATGTTTAACACACAAACCCTGCAGATTGAGGCTGTAGTCTTCCATCAAACAGAAATCACACTGTTCCACCTTGTGATGTCATATGGTAATACAGGAAGTACTCCATTGTTTTTTTAAACTCTACACACCTTCACTAGAATCATTTGGATACTTTCCACCATGGAAATGGCCAATCTCTACTGAACTAAAAGTAAAAGGAGTTGTCCACTTGAAAACTACTGCTTCATGACATCACAAGGTGGAACAGAGCATTTTGAGCCCTGGAAATGTAGACAGACTAATAATATTACTCAGACATGTGTGAATGAAACAAAATACAACTAGAGGTCTGTTTTTGAGGAGGTAACAACATGGCTTAAAGCTCAGTCAATTTTGTGTAATATAAGACCATTAAAAAATGAAATACAAAAAAGTAACACGTTTTTTCCTCCCAGTATCAGGTGGAAGAATTTCAGAAAAAGGTTAAGTGTATTTTTGTCCCTAATTCTAAAAAGCGCACCCCACCCTCTACATTGTAAAGTGTGTTATAAAAACAGCTATTTGTAATAAAAATTATTTAACGGAAATATTTCTATAATAATGCCGCTGTCTTTGTTATAAAACGTCTGTTGGCATGTATTTTAAGGTCTGCAGAGTTGTATTGTCCAGATAACAATTATTAAAATAGGCAACAATTATTTTAATAGTCGATTAGTCTGAATGATTCCAATCCATTGTTGCAGCCCTGGAGTGTGTGTGTGTGTGTGTGTGTGTGCTGTTACCTGGGAGATGGTGTGTTCTGTACAGACTATAGACCTGGAGTTCAGATGACATCACAACAGTCTAATCATACTTAATACAGATGGGGAAGAACATTTATGCTGTAATACTGCGAGGTCTTGACTCTAGCCAATAATGAAAATGATCAGGTTCAACATTTTTTCCTATTTATACCATTGGATTTGCCATGAACTTGAACTTATCAGTGACTAGACCCAAGAACTCACTGTTTCACAACTAAAATTTAACTGTTTAACTAATTTAACTGCCTCCATCTATATATTACTGGCCTATAGAGTGATGATGGCATCTGAAACCTGGCAATAGTTTCCTGGGAGTCCATGTAATCTGTATTCTGTATAGTGTTGAGTGTACACATGTAGGTTACCTGGGAGACGAGGCGCTGGTTCTCGCTCAGCCACGTCTCTCTCATGGCGGCTTTCCTGTCAAAGCGGCGGGCGAGCTGCTCCAGTTTCTCCTGACGAATCAGCTCTGTCCTGAGGGCGAGCTCCCTCTCATGCTCCGCCTTCTCCAGACGCTCCCACGCCTAAAAACACAACAAAATCATAACATTTTTCACTGGACTTGAATCATTATGTCAAATTATCATGATTTCCACAGTGACAGAAAAAAATCGTAATTATGACTCTGTCCAGAATTGAGAGCCCCTGTCCTAATGGTTCAATCAATCAAACAATCACTCTTTATTTCTAGAGCACACTTAAAGCACGCAAAGTGGTTTAGTTATAAAATCCACAAAGAAACATGCAAAAATAACATTAAACAGTAAAATAAAAACAAATTGTGCAAAGCGTTGCTGCATTAAGAAGCCAGTCTGAATAGATATGTTTTGAGCCTAGATTTAAACAGGCTACAGTCTATTCATCTTATTCAGCCCCACCCAATTTCGTCTCTAAATGGTCCTAAACCACCTGGTTCTTGTGGTGGCACTTCCAGTTAAACAGGGATCCCATTCATTTCAACTGCGAGAATTTGGGAAAAGTTTTGCCGATTAAAAATGACAAAGTCAGTTCATTTGAGTAAAATGTTCAGTTTTCATGTGCACCAACAAGTCATACTGCACTGATTCTCTGGCCCATAAAAAATAATACAACCCCAATGATGATGGAGGTGCACAAGGCAACTTCTGGAATAAGGTGAATAGAGGTGTGCTTAGTGGTTGTCCAAGTATCTGCATGTCTGGCACTATGGTAGACATTTATCTCTCAAAACAATATTAGGTCAACTGGATAAATAAACTAGCCAGGCTGGTGCCACCTAGCGCCTCCGCTCAATTTCATTTATCTCCAGCGACTCGGTCAGGAATCAGAATACACTAGATTCGCAAAAACTCCGGATGCGAGTTTGGGCACCAGCCAATCAGGGAAGAGCCAGACATTCTGTGTTGGCAACGATTCCCGAGATCGAGGATTTAAAACCGGAACAAAGAGAATGTTTGGTGAATTTTATCAAGGGGAAAGACGTTGTTGCCCTTCTTCCTACAGGGTTTAGGAAAAGCTTAATATATCAGTTAGCCCTGTGAGCGGCTTATTACATACATCACAACCAAATAGCAGTGATTGGTTAAATAAAAAGTACCTGCCTATCGTCAAGTGAACGAATCCTAATGCCGCGAGGTCAGACGGTTTCTATGAAGTGAAACTGGCTGTTGAAGCAGGCTATAAATAAACTTGTATAGAACTTTTTTTTTTCATTTTGTGTGTTTTGTCTTCTGCACATGAACATGAATAGTTGTGTCCATGTGTGGGTCTCGTACCTTGTTGATGTCTGAGATGAGTTTTCCTTCTCTTGGGGTGTAGACCTTCTGGTTGTTGGCTCTCATTTTACTCTGGATGGTGAACAGCAGCACCTCCAGGTTTCCCTTCTCTGTGAACCTGGAACATTCAAACATTTACAAGTTATACACAAATACTTTATCACTGCAAGAAAACTACAGGAAATAAATTAAAAAGGCAAAAAAATGACAGGTTAGACTACTCATTTTACTCAAATATAGTTCACATCATTATATTTAAGATTTCACTACAAAGCTTGCCTAGTTTCTTGAAGTTTTTTTAATGTTGGTGATGTTTATAATTTTACTGTAATTTTTTTTTTTTTTTTACAATGTAGTTATAATTAAACCAATAAAATATATCACAGCAGCTTTATTTTGTTCAGTTAAGGTTTAAAGTGTGAAAATGGCTTCCTTGTGTGCAAACTGAGCCTGCATTTTTGTGTTAATGACATAGGTAAAGGTACACAGCCCTACTTCCTGTATTTTTGTACTTTTCTTTTTGATGTTTTTTCCACAAAGTGCCACTTAACTGATTTAAACTATGGTGAACATCATTATCATTATATTTTGGATTTTACTGCAAATCTTGCTTTTTAAAATGTTGATGAAGATTATAATTCTGTACGTAGAGTTAATTTCATAACTGTTACCTAGCAACCATTATGTTAACAAGGGCCAAAACTTGTCTAAATTACACAGTAGTTACTGCTAGAAAATTTTTCCTGCATTTTGGATGGAATTTTCCATGTTAATGACATAAGTAGAGAGATTTTCTTTTAGAACTCAGCCCTACTTCCTATATTTTTGTATTTTCTTTTACTTTTTTTTTTCACAAAATGCAACTTAACTGATTTAAAGTTGTGATAAATACTGACCACAGGTACTACCCCATTAAACCAAGTCAGAATTAAAAAACAAACAAACTGAAAAACATGAAAACCTGTCTTAAATATGTGCTTTAAAGATGCACTATGTGCGATAACTTATTTTGAAGAAGGGTCAGAAATCTGCTTCTCTCTATGGTGACTTTATTGCTTTTCCTGGGAAGTCTCACAACCTGGCATTAAACTAATTTATCTTGTGCTTATGTGAGCTGTAAGCTGGCCCACTTCTCCACAGATCCGACCTGTAACTTGGCCTGATGACGTGGCCTGCCTATCTCCATGGTGATGTTATTGATTTGCCTGGGAAGTCCCACAGTATGGCATTAAACAAATCTATCTTATACTTATGTGAGGTGTGAGCTGGCCCACTTCTCCACAGATCTGACATGTAACTTGGCCTGGTTATGAAGCCTGCACATCTCCACAGTGATGTTATTGATTTGCCTGGGAAGTCCCACTACATGGTATTTAACAAATCTATCTATTATTTATGTGAGCAGTGAGCTGACCCACTTCTCCACAGATCTGACCTGTAACTTGGCCTGATGACCTGGCCTGCTTATCTCCACGGTGATGTTACTGCTTTGCCTGGGAAGTCCCACAGCATGACATTAAACAAATATATCTTGTATTTATGTGACCTGTGAGCTGACCCACTTCTCCACAGATCTGACCTGTAACTTAGCAAGGTGAGGTGGCCAGCTTGTTTCCATGGCGATACGGTAGTTAAATTAAACGCCATACTGTAGAACAATCCGAGAAAAAAACAACATCTACATGGACCCTCTACCAGAAATGTTCCACAGTGCAGCTTTAAATCTACAGGTGTTCTAAGGACATTTCTGAGATTTTGGGCCCTCTTATACACTGATCTCCAACAGTCAGACGTTACAGTATTTCCCAGAGGGTCACAAAAATGTCTGTAGTCATTTGGCCCGAGCACAGCTGCAGGTCTGAATCACTCTGTGCAGTGTTTCCAGGAAAATCAAACTGAAAATCACACTCTAATCACACTCAGCTGCTTTGTTGTCCTCCTCTCTATGTGTGTGTGTGTGTGTGTGTGTGTGTGTGTGTGTGTGTATGCGTGTGTGTGTTTGTGTATGTGTGGGTAGATGATTCAGCTCTGAACCTGTTAAATTTCACCCTCAGACCAAAGAGGAAGGCTACTGTGTGTTCAGCGCTTTCTAACGATGCAAGAATGTAGATTTGAACTAAATTTGAACTTTTTGTAGATTCTGTAAGTTAAAATGACTTGAATTCATGTTTCATTACTTCATGAATTCATTACTTGAATTTTATCTTTAAATGTCATTGATTTGGCCAAGATTTAACACGTTCAACCTTCATTATTTGACTTGTTTGCGGATATTTTGAACTTATTTGAATACAGTTCAGTACAGCAGTTTACTAGTTTCTAAAAGTCTGCAGGCATTTAATTTATTTCAATATGGAATATTATTATTTGGTTGAATAAGCAACATATCAACCCTGTCAAAAAATAAATAAATAAATAAATAAATAAGTATAATATTGTTTGCAGTGAAAGAAATAACTTACTTGCTCTTTTCTGCTACTTTTGCTACTGGAATGTATTATTACCATTTAATCTTTTATATTTATAGATTATGATGATGAGTGAGCTACTGCGTTAATGTCATTTCCCTTGTGGATCAGTAAAGTTTGTTTAAGTCCAAGTCTAAATTACATAACATTAAATGTATAGTAAAACTCTTTCTATCCAACGTCATTCACACTGATCTGAACTTGGGGAGATTCATCAGGGCCAAGACTCACATCTTACATAAACATATACTAAAATTCTTTCTTTCCATTTTTTTTTTTCTTGAGTTTTTACGTCTTATTTCTGTTTGTGTTCTTCTTCTTTATGTGTTTGTGCTCACTTGGGGGGTTTCTCCACGGTGCGGTAGGTGTTGAAGGCCTGCAGCTGCTGTTGAACTCCCACCAGAGAGTTTGCAAACTTCCTGTTGTTGAGGATGATGATGGTCTGCTCGATCCACTCCAGAAGGTCTGAGGCCAGGGACTCGTACTTCTCTATCATCTTCTCTGTTTCGATGGCATTGTCCAAAACCTGCACATGAACAGAACGTCAAAATTGTACAGGCAAGTGTTTGGGCTCACCCGTTCATTCATTGTTTTGTTTTTTTTCTATACGTTTACTACTTTCTACTTTTTATATTCATACAGAATTATCTTTCTATTATCCATTTTATTTTTGTACAGTTTCTCTTTTCTTGTATAAACAGTAGCTAGTATATATATTTTATTGCTATATTTCTATATTTTACTTTTACTTGTACATATACATTTATTATGATATATAGGATATATTATGATAGAATTATGCTGCATTTGACACCAGTCTTCCTATTTTTGCTAAATTTTAGCTCTCTGTAGATTCTGTAAGTTAAAATGACTTGAATTCAGAATTTTATCTTTAAATGTCATTGATTTTGCTAAGCTTTAACACATTCCACCTTCATTATATGACTTGTGGATATTTCTGACTCATTTGAATACAGTTCAGTACATCAGTTTATTCATTTGTACAATTATGCAGGCATTAAATGTATTGTTTGTTTATTTATTGTTTATAGTTCTTCTCTTGGTTATTATAATATATTGTGATGTATGAGCTACTATGTCCAAGTAATTTCCCTTGTGGCTCAATAAAGTTTGACTAAGTCAAAGTGTACAGAGGACATGAAATATATGAAGCAAGATATATGGTCAAAAACAAAACTAAACAAAATACATTTCTTTACTCTATAATTCCATACATCTTACTTCATATATTTCATGTTTTCTGTGTGTATATACAGTGCAGATAGCAGTAAACATATAGAAAAAACACTGAATGAGAGGGTGAGTCCAGACTTCTCATTTGTAGTGTACATTAATACAGAAAATATTATAATATATCTGCTAATATTCAAGAGCAATTTATGACACGATAACAGATTTTTCTGAATGAACTTAATATTACTGCTATGATTTTATACTTCAACTTTTATATTTCAACTTTCCTACCAAACCAAGTCAGAATTAGAAAACCTGTCATATACACATTAATGCAAGTTAATAGTTAATGTCGAAATCGATTCATATTGGTTTCTTCATGGTCGATGCCGATACTGATACTTTAGAATCCAGCAAAAGTTATGACCAGTAAGCTTGGTCGATACTTCTGGGCCAGTGTGTTTTGTAAATTTTGATAATTTCCTACAAATTATATAAAAAATGTACACTAAACTCAGCACAGCTCCATAAACCTACATTACCAGTCAAAAATTACATTTATTTAAATTACCTTGCATCAATTAAAAATGAACTTTACTGGAAGTTTTTTTTAAAAATTTAATTTAATATTTAGTATGTGGTTTTAAGGATCTTAGCGTGAATAAAGACTGATGGCTCATTCTAACGTGTTAAACATGCACATATTTAAATTATTCACTGTATTGAGCACCGGTCTATGGCCCTTGATCGGCCCTCTGCTTCATCTGTGTTTAGATATGTGGCCCTTGATGAAAAAAGTTTGGACATCCCTGGTTTACACTATAAATTCTCACTAATGGCATCAAAACTATGAATGACTTATATGGAATGTAGCAAATAACAAAAAATAAAACTCAGAATAACTCGTGCCACCATTGATCACTGCTTTTCACTTTTGATATTTCTTGACCCTGACCACAGCTGTGAAGTGAAACCATTTCATATGAATTAATCCAGAAGCTCATTGAGAGAAGGCCAAGGGTTTGCAGCGCTGTCATAAAAGCAAGTGGATACTTTGAGGATTTGAATTAATACTTAAAATATTTAGCTGCGATATTGAACTATTTTTCTTTGCTACATAATTCCATATATCAGCATGTTCCAACTAGTGCATATGAAAAGTACAAATTATACAAAATACTTCTCACAATATCAAATGCTTCGATATAAAACTTAAGACAGGCCTATGCAGACGTATCTCAAACCTAAATATTTGACTTGGCTTTATGTTTTCATGATAGCTTTAAACTATATATTCGTTGTGTCAGTTTGGGGATTTGGAGATTTCAAACTATGAGGTGAGACTCGTATAACAGGCCAAATCTTTTCACCATTTATCATTCTGGAAAATCCTGGAGCTGTCTAAAGAGATATAAGGCTGTAGAGATGTCCTCGTCTGGATCTTTAGGTAAATATACGGTCCAGTTTAGATGGTGGAATATCTGAAGCGCAATCAATCTTAAAACGTCTACATAAATTATTCAAGTTTTAAACTACTGCCTCAGTATAGGTCATAAAAAGCATAAATCGGGAATGGAAAACAATGAAAGCAACGGGATAATAAAAATATATGGAAAGTCCTAGTATCTTATGTGGTTAGCTGCGTAGTAAAGGCAATTTGAGCCTATAAAACGGCATTGGCAACAACTTTGATTGACAGTTTTGCTAAGCATCCGCCCTCTGCCAAATAGACCTTTTTCACAACGTCCGGAAGTGTCACAATGTAGGGTAAATGTCCCTAACGTTAATGTCCACAAGGGATAAATATTCTTCCATGAAGAATTTATCCACAACTATCAAGGGAAGAAAGACGAAAACTTAAAGGAGAACAACGACCAGTATTAGTGAACTACTGAACAAAACTAATGTTATGGTCATGAATAAAACAGAAGTAACTTATTCACTCAGACTGATTCTACAATTAAAATTCTAAATCTATTTCATGATGTTGATATTAGCATAGACAGAGAGATTTGTGCAGTTTAAATTCTACACATTTGATCTGTGAATATCTGTAGCATTCGAACTGCATAACCGATCTTTAATTTTAATTTTAGAATTAGTCTGAATTAACAAGTTACTTATAAACAAATGACTTATTACTTATGTTTTATTCATAATCACAGCATTAGTTTTGCTCAGTAGTTCACTAATGCGTCGTCGTCGTTCGCCTTCAAGTTTTCGTCTTTCTTATCTTGATAGTTGTGGGTGAATTGTTCATGTTAGAATGTTTATCCTTTGTGGACCTTGTTGGATGAAGATTTGGTGATGGGGCAGATTTATGAAGCTGGAGGAGAATACGCAAGATATTTCCACAGATATTTTGCCACAGAAAAGCACTGAAGTGAGTGATGTTTAGCCTAAATCGCAGCACTTCTGGCCGTTGTGAAAATGGTCTGTAGGGGTGTTACCTTCAACAGTGCCGCTCCCAATCGGCTCTTTGATAATACAATGGATGGAACTCTGCTTCAAATTGGCTGCCATAATTGCCGGCTTCGATGAGTTTAATTTGACTGGAGCTGACGCGATGATGATGTCACATTCATAGGGAAGGGACAAGGACTAAGTTCAGACTGCAGGGCTTAATTGCTCATTTCGGATTTTTTGTGAAATCAGATTTTTTTGCGAGATCGTTCACATTTCCAATTAAATGTGACTTGAATGTGATCTCCAGTGTGAACATTAAACACCCCAAAATGTCCCGCATGCGCACTGGAGCCCTAAACATGGACACAGCATTGAGCACCTGGTGGTTTTAAAGTTGCTGTCATACTGGAGCCAGAACATGTACAGCTTAACTGTTTTAAGGAGGAGAATGAGAAAGAGAAGGACGAGGTTTTTGGCCTTGGCTTTTTGTGGGGCAGTGGCAGCAACGTCTGTAGAAAGGAACGTGAAGAGTGGTGGGATTGATCTTTACTTAGCTTCTTCACTCACACAGACTTCATACACAATTTTTGCCCGCCGAGAAGAACGTTTGTATACATTTGTGAGCGTGTAGGTGGGATGAATGCAACCTGGCCATTTAGACTGAAGTCACATGTCAAAAGATCGGATATGTATCTTTTTTTTAGGTGCATATATCCAAGTGGCCTGGGTCGCATTTGAAAAAAATTTATCTGTGTCATTCATTAAAAGATCAGATACAGGTCACAGAGGCAAAAAAAAAAAATCGAATTTGGGTCACTTCAGGCTGCAGTCTGAATGTAGCCAAGATCTCATCCAACAAAATCTCACGGGACATGTTTATATTTGGATTGGACCAAAAAAAGGGTTACGGAGTTGGTGAGTTACATCTCTTACAGTTCCAGAAAGCAGTACCATGCAGAATGAAAAGAAAATATGAAATCAAATAAATGAAAAAATTGTGAGGCCAAATTTCGAAACGGAATCGTGAAATGTATTTATGAGGAATTATGATAAATCTCGTCTTGTCTCGTTCTCATGGACCCAATCTCGTATTTTGTGTCTCGTCTTATCCCTACACACTCACTTCTTTGTACACTACTAAACTACACTACTTCTAGCTCTACACACTGGATAAATGCAGTTATTTTGTCCCTATAGCTGGTCCTGCTGTGTACTCTGTGTGTACTGACCTTTCCAATCCTCTTGCCCTCCACCTTCAGAGCCTTCATCTTGGAGAAGTAGTGGTAGTAAGTGACCACGTAGGTGATGATGGATTTCTCGTCAGGGTGGTCCACGCTGATGTCTGCGCGCACACACACACACACACACACACACGTTAAAAGGCAGTAGTGGAAAGTGGCCAAGTTAAAGTGGTAAGGTACTTAAGTATAAATCTGTACTTTTCACAGTGGATCCTTTTACTTTGACTTCACTACATTTGAGAGCAGATAACGGTACTTTCTACTCCACTGCATTTTTGAACTGGACTGTTTGAGACCCGCTTAAATATATTTTACACGTTCATAATTTGAGCAAAGAAAAATATACAAATAAAAACAGCTAGGAAAACATGATTCAGTCGTTTCTTTTCAAAAATATCAGAACAAATCTCAAAATCTACGCCAAATTCTTTTACTTTTTACTCTTACATTTCTACATTTTTAAACAGATTTTTTTCATGTGATACTTTTACTTGGTATTTCTTTTCTCTGGTATCTGTTTTACTTAAGGAACAGAATTGAGTACTTCATCCTGCACAGTCCTACTCATTTTTTGGTTGTTTATTATTCATTCATTCATTTATTTGTTATCATGTTACAGAGTGGTCACCTTCGGGGTCCAGGAGTTTGGTGAGGCCCAGGTGCTGCTCGGCCAGGTTGAAGGCATTCTGCAGATTGTAGTGAGCGTTGGATTTCTTCAGCTTGTCAAAGTCGATCAGGTCCGGTCTAAACACCAAACAAAACACAAACGGTTATAAAAACAAAACATTTATAAACATTTTAAAGGATGCACCAGTTCACAAAAATACCCAGATAATCAATACTACAAACTAAATACTCATTTGAATAAAAGTACTAATAACTAAAAGTGCACCAAGTAGCTTTTCTTGTAATGGGCATTCTTGAAATATTCCACAGTATAGCATTAAACCGATCCATCATGCATTTATTCAAACACAGTGTTTTCTTGAAAATATGCAGTCTTATAGTGAACTTTTCTACTAGGAGATAGTCGTGTTTACTCCAGACAAAGCAATGACAGCTCCATGGAAACAAAAAGTAGGAAAGGTTCATAGTGCACCTTTAAAATAGGACAGTTTAAGTTTTTTCTTGGCCTCATTTCAAGCTGTATAAGACCACATGAATAAATGATAAATTAAGACACTATTGTGTTATAACTAGGGATTTAACAATAACTAAAATATTGCGATATTGTACTTTCAAAAGTCTCACAATAATATCGTGGGCTGTCACAATATATCGAATATTCATTGTTATGGTGCAGCAACAGCTTAAAAACAGACAGAAGTACATAGACCATGATCCTTTGCTCTGTTTTAGTCCAATCTACATGATAAAACAACTGTTATTAAGCGCTTTTAAATCTTAATTACTTGGATTATGACAGAAAAGTAGTATATTCACAGTTTTGTTAGCTTCCGTAAAATATTGCAATAAATATCGTACTGTGAGATGCTTATCGTGAAAATATCGTATCGAGAGATTTGAATATCGTTACATTCCTAATTATAACTATGCTTTTCTTATTTTTTTCTCCAATAGGGAATCTAAATTAGTATTAAGAGTCCAGTTTTTTTCCTCAGTTTTGAAATTAAGTTTGAGATTTTGCAACACTAGCTGTTTATTTGGGAGGCTCACTTAAAAGAGCAGATAAGTTCAGTGGTGCCATTGTCATATTTCAAATGATTATGGATAAATAAGTGTTTAATAACATCTTCATAATAACATAATAACATTAGAGTCTTCCATGTGATGTATTGGACCGGACAGAGAGCAGCGTGAAACTGGCGCACTGTGACCTAACCTCTGGGTCACCTGCTGAGACGCCTGTGGTTTTTACAGAAGAAAAAATACTGGACACTCTGCAAACTGAATTTCTCTTAGGAGCCTTTACTGATTCAACAAAAGGAATTAAATAGTGATCTCTTTGAGGACAATGGCTTACTGTCGTTTGTGGACTTGTGTGCTAAATATGATTTATCACGGGTAACTTTTTACTTCTACTTGCAGCTGCGACTTGTGCTTAAAGAGCTTGGAGCCCTTTTAAGGAGTCTTCTGTCTGAGCTTCCTGTGAAGAAATTGTTATTAAATACCTCTAAATTGGGGGCTAAACTTTTGCTTACAAGTTCTTATCAACCTCTGGCTTTGGACTCCTTGTGGAAGGCAGATTTTGGGGCCTGTCTTGGACTGAGACGAGGTGTGGGAGAGTATTAACATGTCCTCTAGGAATCCTGATCACCAACAAATCCATTACAATTTTGCACATCTGTTATATTTAACTCTTAAAAAAATATTTGTTGAAACTTGAGGATTGCAGTAATTGTGAATATGTATATATATGTATATATATGTACATGTAAGACGTACACATGTGATCATATCAAGCATTTCAGAATTCATAAACGTACAGTCACTGTGATTATTGCTGTAAATCAGGGGTCTCCAACCTCTTTCTTCCACTGAGCTACCTTTACAAAAGCAAAATACCAAACAGCTATTAATTTTAGGACCAACAAGAAATTGAAAACCTTAGGAAATTAGGAAAACCTTAGATGGGGAATAGTTAGATACCTATAAAACAGAAACCTTTATCCATTTATCAGTGCACAGAGTTCGACATCAGAATGATACTTTTACAATGAATGGGAGCTCATCAGATTTTAGTCATTCAGTACATTGTGTAAAATTCAGAAATCCTTCGGCGAGCTACTTGGAAAGGGGTGGGAAGCTACTGGTGGCTCCCGAGCTACAGGTTGGAGACCCCTGCTGTAAATCAATAAAAAAAGTTTATCACAAAAAAAAAACAAACAAACAAAAGGAATCCAATAGTGACCGTAATTTACAGTTTAAAGGTCCTATATTATACAAAACGGATTTCTCGTTCTTTTCTGAGCTTTATGTCCTGTTATAATGCTGTTACCTCAACAAAAACATACCCAGAGTTATGTTTTGTTTCATTCACATGTGAGTAACCATTTTTTATTAGTCTGTTTACATCTCCAAAGCTCAAAATGCTCTGTTCTACCTTGTGATGTCATGAAGAGGCAGTTTAAGTGAACAGCTCCTTTTACGTTTAGTTCAGTAGAGATTGGCAACTCCAGAGCTGAACTTATCCAAACGATTCTAGTGAAGTTGCAAGTGTAGATGACATCAAGTTGGAACAGGAGAACTCTGCCTAAATATGCAGGATTTGTGTGTTAAACATGTGTGAATGAAACAAAACACAACTCCAGGTCTGTTTGTGATGAGGAAACGACATTATAAGATAAGAAAATAATTACTGCTGGGTGAATAATTTCTAACCAAAGTCACACGATGGTTCCATTCATAATTCCATACACAATAGACATGCTTGTATATCTGACCATAGAATGTCAACTTTTACGATCACATTAGCGTGCTCATTATTCTGTCATCTTTGAGCCTAGTTTAATCTTCATTTATCACAGTGCTCAGAGTAAACGCACACTGCTCAGCTGATGGTCAGAAGACTGTCACAAACACATGTTGTTTATGGATATTAGCACATAAAGCTCCCATTCTCCTCAGGCTATTCTCTAGTGTCTCTGTGTAATCTCACTGTACATGTGACCTGACCATACACAGACCGCTGCTTCTGTCACACCACATATTATCCAGGTATTAAAAAGATGATGGTCTACAGAGGTTTCTCAGAGGAAATGTAGAAGACCTGAGAGATAATCCTACCTGTGTTTGTGGATTAAAAATATAGAAAACCACAGATGATCCTACCTGTGTCTGTGAATGAGAGCAGAGGCGGCGCTACCAATAGGCAAAAGTAAGCAGCTGCCTGGGGCCCCCAAACCTGGAGGGGCCTCCACCCAATTGCCCTCAGTGCCACTAATTGCAGAGGCCGCAAAACAATTTGATTTTCTCTCAATATGACATTAAATGAGAGTAGTTTACTTTTAAACAATGATCATAAGAAAATTAATAATAATCATATCCAATGGATGTAAACAAAAATGTAATTGTAGTAGCAAAAAAATAAAACTACTTTGAGTTCTTGTTATCTATTAGGCCACCTAACTAAAAACACAAGTTTCCAATCCACCATAATTCAAATAAATAGAGATGTGCATGTCTCAAGAATGGGAAAAAACAGACATACAAATAAATTTATATTAACAAATACATTTATATTAACAAAAAAACTGTGCATTATAATGAGAGCCCCAAACACAAGTTTGCCTAGGGCAAACTCCACCAATGAATGAGAGATATAGAAAACCAGAGAGATGGTCCTACCTGTGTTTGTGAATGAGAGCGTTGAAGGCCATGCCGTCTCTCCAGCTCGTGGTGAAGTTGTGGATGTTCACGTTTGGATAGCTGTAGAAACAGGAAAAACATTTATTGTAGGACTGATCTGGGCACAAGCAGTCACAACCTACAACTCTGTGTTAAATGAAATAAAAATAGATTTTAAAAAGTACAAAACGTGAAAATACTTGTTGTATATAGTAGACATATATTTAGTTTGAATGATACTAGAGCCAGAGAGCGGTTTGAGCAGTGGTGCTCCAACCCAAAGGTCAGAGGATTCCAGCTTGGACCAACTTCTGCTGTTGGGTTCTTAGGCAAGACACTTCACCCACTTTGCCTAGTGTGAAAGTAGTGTGTGTGTGTGTGCGTGTGTGCGTGTGCATGCGTGTGCGTGTGTGTATGTGTGTGTGTGCGTGTGCATGAGTATTGGTGGGCCGATGGTACAGATTGGCAGCCTCGCCCCAGGGCAGCTACAACTACAATCTTACCTTCATTAAAGGGCCCATCTCATGCAAAATAACTCTTTTCACATTGTATCTTCTGTACATAAACAAGCACAATTTGGGTTTTGGAACATCCACACAATAGATATGAAATCTTACTGATTTCTTGGAGACAGTCACAGAACAGGAACTATGAAAGGTCGGTAATTGCTCATCCCCCCGCCCGTCCTGAGAAAGCACAAGCTCCGCCCTCCAAACGTGACGTAGGCTCTGAGTGAGCCGCCCTTCCTCCTCCCATCTCAGGGAGGGAGGGGGAGACAGGTGTGCACCCTAATAGCAGTAGGAATAAACTTTTATTCATCATGGAGATACAGCGCGTTCAGCCGCATGTGTTGGACCTGGAATCGGACGAGGACTTTGAGGAGCACGAAGCTCAAGCACCGCGTCCACATCAATTACTGATTGACAAAGTATTAATAAACATTAGTAGATAAACTTATTATATCGTGTACACTGCAGTGTAGAACAATTATCTTATGCTGTCACTTTTGTTTAGGTGTTCATGTGGGAACTGTCAGTCGATGCAGGGTGGAGGCGGGGCAGAGGCGGAGGCAGTGGAGGGGGAGGGGGGCGGGTGCGAAGCGCCTTCTGCTACGTCATACGCGTCATAGGTGTAGCTGCTGCGTCATCGTTGTAGCAGCTTTAGTTCGTTGTCACGTGGGAGGGTGGCAGAAATATGTTGTAATTTGTTAGAAAAAAGCCAAATCAATCTAAAAAACACTTTGGCGACAAATACAAGGCCCACACATCACTCTTAGAAGGCAGAAAGCTCTGAAAAGTTGATTTTGCATGAGCCGGGCCCTTTAAGAATGGAGTGAATGACTAATGACAGTGAAGCAGTTTAAAAGGCTTTGTGGAGCCTGTAGGTGCATTACAATTTTACATGTAAATAGTATAGAATAGTAGAAAGTAATAAGTAATACTTGAGTCTAATAAAAGGACAGACTGTTAAAACTTTTGAATTCCAGGTTCATTTGTTGTCACATCACCCAACCCTAGTTTCCACATGAACAGTCACAGCACAGCAGACAGCACGGGGCCTTCTGATTGGCCGACCTCTTCTGCCTCGAGGTCAGGACTTTAATTACAGTCTGAGAGATCCCTCCATCATAGGGCCCTCGGTGCTAGGCCCTACATAGAGCTAGTGCGCATGAATGAGCGACTCTAGCGTCCTTACCCTGCGGTCTTCATCTGACACCACAGCAGCAGAGCATCTTTAGCAGACTTCTTCTCCTTGTTGTCTTCCGTCTCCACGCTGATGTCTTGAATCTGGAACACAAAATTTAAGTTCATTTTAAGAAGGATAAAACGGATTAGGATTTAAGCAAAACCCTTTTAAAATGACCCAAAACCTCTAGCCAAAATCTCCCCCTTCACTGACTTAAAAGCGTGCAGCAAAAGTATTCGAATCTGCAATTAGCCTTAGCACGTCTCATTGTAAGACATAGTGAGTCGTTAGCGTTGTGTTAGCGTTGTGTTGGCGTAGTGTTAGCGTTGTAGTCAGCATGCATCGGCTCCATGTCAGCCTCCTCTTCTGTGGCGCAGGATTGGAAAGACTAAAAACAGTATTTTTAATCCGAGCGGCTTATAAAAGGCTCAGTCCTGATCACCCATCTCCCCAACTGTTCACTGTACAACATGGCAGGACTGGCACAGAGGAAGGGGAGGGTAAGGGAGGGAAGGGGAGGGTAAGGGAGGGCACGGGAGGGCATTGGGTGGGATGGTAGACATGTTTTTACTTTAAAAATGATTTGTGACATTTGTGTTTACAAGCAGAGGTGGATACTGGAGCCAAAAATTCAACAGATACTTCAAAACAATATAACTCAAGTAAAATACAAAGTAGTTGTCTATGAAATAACTCAGGTAAGGTTTATATAAACACTGTTGGGCAAGTTACTTTAAAACTGTAATGTGTTATTTATGACTTGTTACTGTCATTTCAAAGTAATTCCTTACATTACAATATTACTGCATTTATAATGTAAGGCATTACTTTACTATTGCATTACTTTTAAGTTACTCTCACCAAAATAACTGCGAAGATGCTGAACTTCTGCGCCGTATATGGACTGAGCCAGGACTGAGCCAGGACTGAGCCAGGACTGAGCCAGAGCTGAGCCAGAGCTGAGCCAGAGCTGAGCCAGAGCTGAGCCAGAGCTGAGCCAGAGCTGAGCCAGAGCTGAACCAGAGCTGAACCAGAGCTGAACCAGGACTGAGCCAGGGCTGAACCAGGGCTGAACCAGGACTGAATCAGGACTGAATCAGGACTGAATCAGGACTAAACTAGGTCTAAATTAGGTCTAAACCAGAGCTGAACCAGGACTGAATCAGGACTAAACTAGGTCTAAACTAGGTCTAAATTAGGTCTAAACCAGAGCTCAACCAGGACTGACCCAGGTCTAAACCAGAAATGAACCAGGACTAAACCAGAGCTGAACCAGGATTGAATCAGGACTAAACTAGGTCTAAACTAGGTCAAAACTAGGTCAAAACTAGGTCAAAACTAGGTCAAACCCAGGACTAAACTAAGACTAAACCAGAGCTGAAACAGGAGTGAACCAGGTCTAGACCAGAACTGAACCAGGACTAATCCAGGTCTGAACCAGAACTAAACCAAGACTAAACCAGGACCAAACCAGGACTAATCTTGGACTAGAACTTGGAATCTAGGACTGCCCCTGAGAGAACCCCCGAGCGTGATCGGGCGTCAGCTGCGTTTAGCCCCGTGGAGCGCGGAGTTCTGCGCCGTCCTTTCGCTCGCAGTCACATGACGGTCTACGCGGGCGCGCCTCTGGCCTGTAACTATGGTGTTTAACTGCTGCTGATATTGTGGTGATTTTAGCGAATTTGTATGAAGAAAAACGAAAAACCCGCCACTTCAATCCAGGTTAAGTTACTGACATTTGTACACAGTAAAATATTAAAAAATGTTTTCCTTTAATATCTTAAATTACTGAGTTACAGCAAAAAACAATGCATTACAGTAATTCCTTATTTTTATAATGCGTTACTCCCAACACTACATATAAACCATATATCTCAAGTGACACTATCAGGTAAAATTGCAGATCTGTGGAGAGGCGATCCCACTCACAGAAATAATATTTTTTTAAGGTATTACTGAACAGCGAACAGTGGGTCACCATCAAATATAATCAAGGTTTCATATTGAACTTTCATTCAACTTTAAGTCATCCACAAATTCTAGTTAGTATTAGATTTTCAAAAGGACAAACCACAAAAATGAGAGAAACTGAATCATATCTGAAGGAGCGTCAAAGCTTTTGTCACTTGTAGACTTATTACAGACTTAAAGGGACAGTTCGGAATTTTGGACATAGGACCTAATTTCCTCGTGAGCCAGAGTGTTGGAGACGTGTGGAGACACTTTTTTAATTATTCCGTCCAGTGCTTGTATTTGCAGAGGTCACTGGTGCTAGGCTAGTGCATGTCAATGGCCATAGTTATCCTGCCACTAAAAACAGTCTTACCCACTCCACAAAACATGTGAGGCAAAACAATTATAACTCCAGACTGTCAGCGTGAATGTCTATGTTGATAGAATAATTTTAGAAGTAAAACCAGCTTTGCATTTGAAGGATTTATGTTTGAGCAGCAGCAGCGGGTTGTACTTCCTGATAGAAAGCTTGACAGCAGCAGACTGATATATGAGAAAATAGTCCCTCAACATGCGACGATTCATGCGATGCAAGGTTAGTTTTATTTCAAACATTATTCTATCAACACAGACATTTACATGGACAGTCTGGTGTAATAATTGTTTTGCTTTGGGTGTTTTGTGGAGTGGGTAAGACTGTTTTTAGTGGCAGGATAACTATGGCCATTGACATACACTAGCCCAGCACCAGCGACCTCTGCAAATACAAGGACTGGATGGAATATTTTAAAAAGTGTCTCCACACATCTCCAACACTCTGGCTAACGAGGAAATGAAGTCCTATGTCCCTGTCCCTTTGAACTAAAACACTTATGAAAATAAGTGCTGTTCCACTCTTGAATATGTAACTCTATTATGGGTAAAGGCAGGCTTCTGAAAACTACTAAAAGTAAAAGTAACTGTATAAAAAAGTACAATTTTATCTGAGTACACTTTTGGACATCTCTGATTTGTGAGTTGTGCGTTCCCCGGTCTTTTACTTTGTTCTATGGTTTATCAGAAGAGCCAATATAATAAACGTCTGCAAATAGTTTTACGTGTGTGTCTTGATTGTAAAATGTGCTTTCTCAACAGTCGTACCTGGAAGCGTAAGATGATGGTCCAGATGAGTCCCAGTGTGAGTCTGTGGTTGCCGTCGACAATGTCATGTGACCCCATGTTCTCCAGGTGCACCCTCTGCTCCTTCAGGAACTGCAGAGCTTTGTCCACGTTCTCCAGACAGTGGATCCTCATGCGCCCTTTGGTGGGTTTGGGCTGTAACACAAACACAACTCATTTACAACTCTCATAACTGCAAGTACTCCCTGCACAGCACCATCCCCGGACAGGAGAGCACCTTTGGGGACAGGCTGCTGTTCCTGTCCTGCTCCACGGACACACTCTAGAAGTCGTACGTACCAACACATTGCTATAAATGATGAATGCAGAGGATGGACTGATAACTTTAAATATATTTTCCATGTTGCTGTGTTTGTTTCATTGTTGCTGCTGCTAAAATTAGAATTTTGTTTGGAAATCAATAAAGTATCTATCCCTCTTGTCCAGAAAGAGTCTTTCTCATAGAGCACAATGTAAAGAAACTGCTCATATTTGGCTGACAGGCACCTACTAGGTAAGTAACGATATCCAAATCTCACGGCACAATATTATCACGACATGCATCTCATGGTATGATATTTATTGCAATATTTTGAATATTTTGATATTTTGATACTTTTTTGCTTTTAAAATACCTTGACAGGATATTGGTGTGAATTATTACCATGATAATCCCAAGAATTCAAATAAAAACATATCTCTTCATGTTGTCTGCACTGAAATGAATCATGGGATATGTAGTTTCTGATGTTCATAAGCTGTTGTTACTATAAAAAATGCATTTAAGCAAAGGAACTTGTGATTCGACATATTGAGGCAGCCCACATTATTATTGTGAAACTTTTGAAAAAACATGATCTCAGGATATTTCGGTTATTGTTACATCCCTAACACCTACAGCTTTCAAAAAGGTCAGATTTTGTGGCGATTTTTACTCATTTTTATTACTAGAACTTGCCTTTCAAGATAAAATGTCGGTTCCTGGTCTCTGATTTTACAAAATACATTTCTCCAAAAAGTGCGACTTATAGTCCGGTTCAACTTATAGTCCGAAAAATACGGTACCCAAGAACCATTTGTCTGTTATTCTTCGGTATCTAATGATCTTCCAAACCAGTTCACCAGTTCGACACTGGACAGAGCTCTGTCTCTGTGTGGGGGAGTCCTGTGTGTGACCCTGACCCTGGATGAAATCAATACAATCACTATCATCTTAGCTGAGCCATGATAATGAATAGTGTGTGTGTAAAATGTTGCACTCATTCACTTTATCCTCACATTCCAATATAAACAAATGTGTGGAGATTCCTGTTTAAAATCACAATCCACACACATTTATTTTGGCCCTCCTCAGCACTTGTAGTCCAAAAGGCAGACAGACAGAATGTGCCTCCCTATCTGCAGAGGAGAGGGGGACTTTCCACAGTCTGGACCCAGAGCAGAGGCTGCTGAGTCACAAAGAGGCTTGAGCTACACTGGGTACACTGCAGAGTGGGCTGATTGCAAACGCACCAGAGATTTAAAAGCGCTCATATTGCACTATTTTCTGATCCGTGTTCTAATGCTGTTTCCTCATCAAAAACAGACCTGGACTTGTGTTTTCTTTCATTCACACACGTTTAACACACAAACCCTGCAGTTCTTCTCTTGAACAGAAAACACTCTACTACTACTAAACAAAAGGTAAAAGGTGTCAGTTAACTTGAAAACTACTGCTTCATGACATCACAAGTTGGAACACAACATTTTGAGCTTTGGAGATGTAGACAGACTAATAATAAGAAACATAATAATAAATAACATAAATAATAAAAACAAAACACAACTTCAGGCACGTTTTTGACGAGGTAACCACTTTCTAACATGGATAAAAGTTCAAAAGCGTCAAATGTGTGTAATATAGGACCTTTAATGAAGTATAATAATATGGGAGAAGTGTCTTGCCCAAGGAGACAGCAGTAGTATTCAACGGTCAGAGCTGCGATTGAATAATTCGTGTTCATGACTAGGGATGGATTTTGGATTTTGTGAGCCGATATTCATATAAAATATTTGGCCTGATGTGTCTGAAAACCGATATTTGTCAATGCTGTATTTTCCGCACTATTAGTCGCTCTGGATTATAAGACGCACTGTCATTAAATGGTCTATTTTCAAACTTTTTTCACAAATAAACCACACTGGACTTTAAACATAACACAACAGTTGGATGGGTCAGTGGGACTTTGTTTGTGGCGTTCATGGTGACTCTGGGCTTTGTTCAGTTGTGGCGTGTAGGGAGGGTGCTGTCTGGGACCAACGGATTGTTGGCGTGTTCACAGTGACTCAGGCTACGTTCAGACTGCACGGCTTAATGCTCAATTCCAATTTTTTTGTGAAATCCGATGTTTTTGCGAGGTCGTTCACATTTCCAATTAAATGCGACTTGTATGTGAACTCCAGTTTAAACAGTCCAAAAGTGTCCCACATGCGCACCGGAGGACACATTGACGTCAACCACAGCGAGCGTGCTCTGTTTTTACGGAAGTTGTCGACACATGGACGCGAGCATTGAGCACCTGGTGATTTTAAAGTTCCTCTCGTACCGGAGCCAGAACATGAACAACTTACTTGTTTTAAGGAGGAGATTGAGAAGGAGAAGGACGAGGTTTTTGGTCGTGGTGTTTTGTGGGACAGCGGCAGCGACGTCCGTTGAAAGGAACGTGTGGATGTGGAGACGGAGCCAAGGGTGGTGAGTGGTGATGTGCTTCGCTTCAGTGACACGGAGTTCATTAACAATTTTTGCCTACATCAGAATAGTGACGTTTGTGGCTTGTTGATAACGTGTAGGTGGATGAATGCGCTTTGACCGTTCAGACTGAAGTCGCATGTCAAAAGATCAGATATGTATCGGTTTCAGGAGCACATATCCAAGTGGCCTGGGTCGCGTTTGAAAAAATCGGATCTGTGTCGTTCAGACTGTCATTAAAAGATCAGATACAGGTCACATAGTGGCCAAAAAATCTGATTTGGGTCACTTCAGGCCGCAGTCTGAACGCAGCCCAAGTTGTTCAGTTGTGTCTACAAGTGACACATTGCACTCGCTTTTTCGGTTCGTTCCTCCGTTCCGTTCCTCGTCTGCGTGGAGTGATGAGTGTGGCTGCGGGTGTTTTTCGCTGCACTGTCGCTGTCTGCTCCGTGTGTGCTTGCGTGCGGCTTTGTAGTTTCACCCAAGTGAATTTGTGTATAGGGCGCTCTGGATTGCGGGGCGCGCAGTCGTTTTTCCATGGGGTTGGAGGCTTAAGAGCGCGGCCTATAGCCCGGAAAATACGGTACATTTGCCGATACAATATTTCTTGTTTAAAATCCATAGCGAGACCCACAAATGTATCATAAGTTAAAGATAAAGACAGTGTGATTGTCAGTGTAATCGCTAATATTAATATCTATGGGATCCAGAATGATACAACTTTTTTTTTAGTACTAGTGAATAGTATAAAGTAGTAGTTATCTTAGAAATACAGAGCCAAATCCCAGTCCTGTGTGTACATAGGCTCTGCTCTGTGTCAGACTGAAGCATCTGCCTCTTCAAAAGCAGAGCAGTAAAAGCAGATTCTGTATACACTTCATAAACTCTTCACACCAGATTAAAACGTCTCCAGGATGTTGCCTCACGGTCCATCTGTTTGAGCCCTGACACCATTCTAAACTATGCATGAATGAAATGACTGTTGCTCTAATCACACTGAACTAGAGATAAACCCAAATTTAAGCTTTCTCGCCATTCATATGAAATTAAAAAGAACATCTCACAGTTTTTTGGGAGGATTTTTTATGATTATTATGAATTATTAGCTAGTATTTTAATAGTTTTTGCTGGAATTTTCCACAGAATGGCATTAAACTTATCTATATCCATGGAGACAAGCAGGTGACTCCATCAAAACCAAGAATTTCTGGTACAACTCATATAACTGTATAAATGCAAGTTACGCAAGTTTAAAACCATACTTTGCAGCATTCCAAGCAAACAAAGACATCTCCATGGAAACGTGACAAAACCCTGTACTAGAAACGTTCCATACATGTGCATCTTTAAGAAACTGAAGTATCTGATGTTAAGTAATTTAAGGTTCATGTGATGCTTAAAACTGGAATTTGAATATAAAATAAATAAACTAAAGTACACAGTTGTCAGGTTATGTCCAAATTTCAGTTTTATAGCATTATTAATTGTTCCTACTCAGAGCAAACTTAGTAAATGTGCAACTTTCTAGCCAAAAATGTCTAAATCCAAGTTTGTGCTGCCTTCAGGGACCTTTGCAGTTTCCAGTAGCACCGGGCTGCAGCGGCGGAGTAAGTTAGATCAATCACACTGTCACTTATACCTCCAGACTCAACCCTCCTCACTCTCCCCTTTAGTCGTCCAAGTACTTCCCAGTTTAGCAGCTCTATTTGAAATATGGTTGAGGGCAGAGTTTAGGTGTTTAGTCCCACTTTAAAGATGACCTATTTTGCTTGTGTCTGCTGTATGGTTATAATCTGACACCGCGTGGATCATTGAGTGCGTATACATGCACATCAGTATCCCGGTTATTAGCCATATCCCGGTTATGTCAGTATTCGGGTTACTGTGTTTACATGTTCACTGAGAAACCGGGATACTCATATCCGCGTATACATGATCAAATGGAGTGTCCCGGTTTCTTGACATAATCTTACAAATGCGCAGGCGCAAAAATTTACTTCACACGAGTGCAGGTCATACGACTGCAGATTGTACGTGTGCAGGTTTAGCGCAGCTCTTAATTTTACAGTCATTTTATTCGTGTGGTCACTTTATTTATGTCACTACTGTTGTGGTGAAAGGCTGGAAAGTGTCTTTTGGACGCATGCGCACTCAACTTTATGTTGCAGTAACCGGGGTACTGCGTCTACATGCCACAAGTATCCCAGTTACTATCGGAATAAACCAGCTACAGTAACCCGGTTTCTAATAACCGGGATACTGCCATAACCGGGATACTGAAACCGGGTTACTGCGTATACATGCACCATGAAGAAACCGGGATACTCATAAAACCTGATCATTAACCGGGTTATTGATGTGCATGTATACGCACTCATTCTGTTATAATTAATGCACATTTTAAATCACACTATAGATCTAAAACAAA